CGTGATTACGTCACTACGCGCTGATTGGCTAATTTCCTATCCAATCAGCGCCTGATCGAAGCTTGGAGAACAGGATAGAAAATTCTCGTATTATTAGCTGCATGCTGATTGGTCAAATCCAGTTCAGTCGATCACGTGAATTTTCTTCCAGAAGTTTTCTCATGCAAAGGCTATAAATAGACTAGCATTGTATTTATCTTGGCCTTCTTAGCCTTCTAGCCTTCTTCGCTTTCAAGCCTTTTTGCCTTGGCTTTCGCCATCACCTCCAGCTTCTTTTCCTTGCTGTTTTGGAATACAATCCTTCCTGTTCAACCGTGTTTTGATTTGTGTTACTTGTCCAGTGTTTTGTGTCAAGAATACTAAGCAATAAGATTTAGCCGGGAAATATCTTAAGCAACCGTTACAACAGGAGGACCCACCTAGGAGTGTTGAAAAACTGATTACAAACCAATAATGACCAGTATACTGAGGGAACAAAGGGGCTAGTAATCTGTTGCTGGCTATCGGCTACTGTTGGACTACTAATGTTGCTCTGCTGCGTTTCCTGTTGGACTTTTAGGTCGAAGGCTCAGGGAGTTGCCCTGTATGTGAATACCGCCTGCCTCGGTTTGAGCACCCGGACATTATCCTAACCCACACATGAATTCAATGATTTGAGTGGCGCATATATATTTAGATGTTCCTTTGTACTAATAATTATCTTTAAATAATAATAATACGCTTTTAATTAAGTACCTACCTGAAAAGAATTATTGGCCTAGTTCCAATATATTGCCAGTCGTACCAATACAAAGTTAAATTAAGGAAGACTATTTATGTACCATATTGAATGTTTGCCACGCATTGTACTAAGTAATCCCCACCCAGAATTCATATTGATACTGGCAATTCCGTTCTGTATTGTGATGGAAGGATGACATCCATGAACTTACTATAGCTGGAATAATGATAACTATATGAGCTAACTATTCTCAGCTTAAATTCACAAGGTACCTGGCGCAATTTTTGTCACAGCAGTAATTGCTATGGGATGATGAACTATAGGAAGTTGACTAGACTTTATCACGACCTAACCTCTTGGTAACTATAGAGTTCTTTATTTTTGTTATGTCGTTGTGAAGTAACACGCTCAAAATCTACGGAGCTGATGAATTCTTGAAAGCTCATCCTGCCTGGCTTTGAGTGCGATGAGGAGCGGAGTCAGCTTGGGCACAGGCTGATAAAAAGCCTACGCAATGATCGCAAACAGTGGTGGGTAGTGAAAGCAAGAGGGATGGAAAAGGCAACAGTAGACTACTGTTCAGACTCATGAAGGAAACCGGTATTATGAATCCGTGAGGGTGAGGTGTGACATTTTTAGGGTCGACCTTTTCTAACCCTTCCTTCCTTGTAAGAAGGCAGCATCTCTGCAGATGCTGGTTGTCTGAGGGAAACACCTTAATGCAGTCACATCCATCTACAGTAGTCAGCAGTACGACTTCGCCTTTAGACCTTGAGTATCTGATTTTAGTCTCATCGTTCTCCCATCGACCTGTCTGGCATGGTTGAACCTTCAGGAACATAAGTTCCAGCCAATATAGCTCGGTTGGGTCATTACGATGGGCAAGCCCGACCACCACGTCAAGGTAGCAGCTACAGTCGGGGCGGGAAATAGTATAAACATCATTCAAATAGATAGCCTACTTTAGCAACTGGTGACGGATTAAGGTTTCCACTGAAGACCTAAATACTTTTTTGCCTATATCGACATTGTAAGTAATGAGTAGGTGATCCATTTGCTTAATGAATTATATACTTATTTAAAGAAAATATTGAGACTTAAAATTAGTAATTTCACATGTTTAGCGACTTTAATTGTGCAGTGTAAAAGACTTTAACTTGTCATAGTTACTACTTGGAAATTCATTTACTCTAATTTTTAGATGTCTGGTGTCATTTTTTTACTCCAGTCTTCAGTAAATTGACAGATATTAATTCGTACATTCAATAAAAACTGCATCGAACGTGCCGTTTTTGTAAATAAATATATTTCATTAGTATTTATCAGTAACAAATATTGTTTCTTTTGTCTTTTTTAATTTATACAAAGGGATCTAGCTCTTAAATTATTCCGAGAAGATGTCATTACTCAAGAGAAAGTTCAATCCCGTCTAATTTGTCAAATACTGGATGAAATACATAAAGAACGATGTGGAGAAGCTATTGACCGACAACTTCTACGTACTGTCATCAGAATGTTGGTGGATTTAAAAGTAAATTCAGTTTATTCGAGCTGTACTGTTTACAGTGTGATAGTTGTTCTTTAGTACTCTGTTGATTACGGTCTTGTAGAAATATCTGATTAACCCATGTGTTCTTAAAGGATCAATCAGTTTAATATAAAAAAAACCTCAAATAAATTCATTGACTATATATATATACTTCGTTTCTAAAATATTTTATACTGATAATGTCGAATAAATTCCAGTACCGGTAATACGGAAGATCTTTTAAATTATCTTTTCTACTTAAGTCAATAACATGGTATCTCATTTTCCTGTATTTAACTGAGTTATATAGGTAACTCAGTGTGTAAAGAAAGAAATAATTATTTACTTACATATTTATTTGTCTCACATGTTTATAAGTGGTTTGGTAGCATTGACCAGAGAAGTGCATGTTTATAAGTGGGAGGAAACTGATGTTTAATCCAGTGACATTTTGTTAGATACTAATGATTTCCACCTTTAGACATTAGTGTTGATTGGATCTTATCGTTTATGTTTGTGATGTAACTACTGAATGTGTTTGTGTCGTGATACATTTCAGTCCTACCGTCCTACAGAGCATCTACGGTGCCGCTTTAACCGATTCCTCGATAGTTGACCAGTAAAAGTGCAATTATATTTTTTCACCTAGTTGTGATGACCGAGGAAAATTCAACTGATGAACAATTGAGTATGAAATACGTAAATTTCTGGTTTTGCTGACTACTTCAGTGCCACTCCTCTGTCATATAGATATAATTCATTGACATTATATGCCTGATTATTTGACTGTATAAGTGTAGGCTTAATGATAGTTTGATTACAGTTTTATTACGGGCAACCTGACACCGTTTCTGGCCATGTAAAGCCATTTGACATAAACCATATAGGATTATGTTTTTAACTACTTCACTTCAGGATACTGCATTTGTGCTATTTCCTCCATAAAACCTAGATCCAGTTTTTTTCTCTTTATTCCTTTTAACCGTGAACTTAGTTCACTGTATGATTCTGTCAACAGAAATTGCTTCACTCTAAGTGTTAGAGCAGTCGTAAATTTTCTCAACGTGTTATTCGTTTACAATAGTACCATGAAGCGAACACTACTGTCAGGTGTGTAATATCCAGCAAGGAGAGTAAGTCGGTAAGGTTGCATCGACAGGAGCTAACATTCGTGTTGATTAGCAGGGTATTGGGTTGTGAAAGAAAAAAAGGGTTGCATTATTCCTTGCCTATTTTGTCCTTGCTCTATGTGTTTCTGTTAATTTTAGTATCTTTCAACTCATCAGTTGTCTCTCTGCAGTATATTTCCTTCAAAATTCTTGAACCAGATTGTCGAGCAAAACGTATTATTTACTGAAAGTTCAATCGCTGAAACTTACTAATATATTTTTCCTCCTTAATATCTTACATTAACTCGGTTCTCCACTACTATAAAATTTCATTCAAATTTAAACGAAAGCTCTCATGCATTAATTTAAAGTTTAGCATCATAAATCACTGACGTTTTTGTGACAGTCTTCGTTAATCAGATCTCAGAGTACTAATTGAATTGCTATATGTCGGTTAGTTTTCGTATCTGTCTTTTTTTATTTGCACTATTTTAACATGTTTTTTCGACAATTACACTGTGATGAAATTTTGATGAATGTCTAAATATATGTCGTTATGGGACAATTATAACGGTCTACTAAATGATGTTGTATATGTTCGCCTAGATAACAAGATGTTTTGATGAAATAATTTATTATTTATGATATTTCAATCTGTTTACTTAATTGTACCCATTTTTACTTCTTTGTTTAGCTCTATGATTCAATATTCCTTACGGAATTCCTATGTAAAAGTCAACAACTCTACGCATATGAAGCAGATACTCTGTCTAGACAGCTTACTGTTCCTGAATATCTATTACATGTAGACAAAAGAATTAGTGAAGAAGAAGACAGACTTCTTGTATATTTGGATGCTAATTCAACTCGTAGTTTGCTTATGTCAACTTTAGTTTCGGAATTATTAACTCGTCCATTAGACTATTTGCTGGATAATGGCTTGGTCAACCCATTGAAAACAAGACAAACTTCTCAATTATCTTTACTGTTTTCTTTGGTTTCACGAGTTCCAAATGGTATAGATAAATTACGGACACATTTCCGTAATTATATCATACAAATGGGTCGTGAAATGGTAGAAAATCCAACTTACGATCCTGAAAAAGACCGTACTATGATTCAAAATCTACTAGATTCACGGGATTTTCTTACGGAAATTATTGTATCGTGCTTTTCTAATGATTCCAGTTTTATGCGTGTTCTTCAAGAAGCTTATGAAGAGTTTATTAATCAACGTCCAAACAAACCGGCTGAGTTTCTAGCTAAATATCTTGATTCTCATCTTAGATCTGGTAATAAAGCTCAAACAGAAGAAGAATTGGACAAGTTGATGGATAAAGTAAGCATCACATCATTTGCATTCGGTTAGTGTCTTTTTGTGGAAGACTTTGGATTTAGTATATCATTTGTCATGACTGACTTGACTATCATTATTGGTATTTCTCCAAACCGTTGTCTACTGACTAGAAATTTTAATAGTTGCTCAATTCTGCTTTACTCCTTGCTCTTGCTTATTTTGTTAGTCAATGTATTAATCTGTTATTCAATACTGAAATCCTATTTCATATACTGGAATTTGAACGGTTGAGTTTCGTTGTTCACAAAACCAATAAACTCCATGTTGTAGTAGTGCATAAGCGTATAGATAATGAGTATTAATCTTGTTTCTGTTATTATTCAGCTTCATGTTTAGCTAAATGTTAAACTTTATTTTATTTGGAAATTTGAATTTCAGATAAGTGGGTCATCCCGCTTTAAAACTCCATTGATAATAGTTTAGAATGCGCCTTGGTTATGTAAAAGCCATTTTTCAATTGATTTCATTTCACAATAAATATATACTTCTTAAATATATGGCTAGTTGTAATTACCACTTAATGTTTTTTTCTTAATTAATGCATTTCTTGATAAGTTGTGTTTGAGATGTAATTAATATGTCATTTATATTATTTACATATGGTAGTAATGCCAGTTTATTGCAGAAACCTTTTTTGACACATTTCTCTATGTCGATTACAGGCTATGATCTTGTTTCGTTTCATCGATGGGAAAGATATATTTGAAGCATTTTATACCAAAGAACTAGCAAAACGTCTTCTTCTAAATAAAAGTGCATCAGTTGATTCAGAAAAAGCTATGCTATCAAAACTTAAACAAGGTAAAAATTCAAAATCGGGCTGCTTGCTTGAAATTTTTTCATTTTGAAACTTTTAATTTTACGTAATCCTTCATTTTTGTAAGTAGATTAATTTGTTCAATGTACAATTTAATCACTAAATTGTAATTGAGATGGTACTTCAGGTTTTGGTGCTCAAATTACTTTTTATATGAAAATATTTTATGTTAATACCATGGTGTGCTGTGTGCTTGCTGTCTAGTGTCTATCAGAACTTATTTACTTAGAAATGTCATTGGTTATCATCCCTATCAATTGATTGATTTCACTATCCAAAAAACAAATATTATTCAAAACACACAAAGTACATTTGTATTTGTTAGTTGAGAATTACATATGGATTTCTATTGCAAGATTTTGAAGTTGTTCAAATCTCTTAGTTCTCTAAGGCGTTGTTGAGCAACTAAGTATTCATTCATTCTATGTAGAATTGATAAGGTTTTGCTTCCGTAAACACTAAGTGTGAACACTTTGTACTTTTTGTTATCCACCGTTAATCCGAAAGTGAAATCTTAAGTAGATAATTTATTGAATGAATCAAAGGTTGACTGGGCGAGAGTGTATTATCTGTAATTTATTTACAAGCTCATTGAATGTAAGTCATCTGAACTGGGTGTTAAAAAACGGTGAACAAACGATGAAAATTTTCTTTGACTATTGTAAAAATTAATTAGATGTAGCTTAAGGAATTTTAAAGGGGGATGAAAAATCATAAAATTGGCAGTGCTAAAGATCTAGAAATAAACTTAAAAGTATTGTAAACGAATTTAGGCCATTAAAGTATTTCCAGCAGAGATTATGATTATGATAAACTAATTTCATTTCATCTAATTTGTTAGTCTGCATTACATATTTTCAAGCATTTGATGTATTTTGTATAGCATCCAACTTAAATGAAGGCTATCGCAAGAACCATCAGTTCAGAAAGGTATATCTCTTTATTTTGTGTTATTGATGTTCAGAGTTATCTGAACGTTAAAGACTTACAGTTATACGCATGTTTTTTTTAAAATTATTTTTGCTTCTTCACAAATATTTATAGAATGTGGACCAAACTACACGCGCAAAATGGAAACAATGTTTCAAGATATTGAATTAAGCAGGCAGTTGAGTAAAAATTTTCGTTTATCTCTACCTGATACTCATACAATCGAGTTAAGCGTAAATGTGATTTGTCCAGCATCTTGGCCACCGTATCCACAGACAACAGCTAATTATCCAGCAGAAGTAAGTATTGTCTTTAAAAATATTTTTATAAACTAACTGATCACTCCGTACTTTCTTGTCAAGATCATTCAAGGTGGATTGTTTCATAGTAACATAAAGAAAACTTTACACAGTAAGTATTTCTATAAATAGTCAGTCATACTGTAATAATGTACCGCTTTGGAAATAATAAACATCAGTACATTACTAACCTCATACTATGACACAGTTAAAACACATACGATTCGCTCAGTTTTTGGTGCATATATGCTACCTAGCTGAACTAGGTAAAGTTCAGTCTAGTACGATTGTAAATGATACCTGTTTCATAACTTTTACGCGATATTTACCTCCTTATCACAATTATCACGTTCAAAATAACAGGCTTTATTTATTTAAATGATTCGGACATGTGATTCATTCTATTCAAACTGATGCATTTGTGTACATTCCCATTTACCATTGTAGCAAAGCGTTGTTTTCATTCACTTTATACATTAATATTGTTTTATGTTGAATTTGATTCAAAGTTGCCCGTCACTGATTTATATCCATTTAAATATTTCTTATCGTTTTAGATGTTGGCTCTTCGAGAGGAATTTACGCGTTTCTATTTATCCCACCATCAAGGTCGAAAGCTGATATATGAACCGTCTTTAGGAACGTGTGTTGTCAAAGCTAGATTTCCAACCGTAAGTTTGTATCGTATACACTGGACAGATATACAATCATATGTAATTGAATGTAAACATTTAGTTCATATGTTGGAGAATCGATGCGAGATAATATTGTATCTGAAAAAACTGTATGTAAAGATTATTTTTTTGCTTGATAGTTAGGCACTAGTTACTTAGCTTTCTATTTTAGACGATATAAGTTCAGTCAAAACCATCATTTTCAACTTTAAGGTTTTATTCAAGTCCATAATCGAGTCCAAAGCTAGCTGTATGTGATGTCTGTAACTTTTTACATACAAACTGGTTGGTTACTTTCTAATAGCCATTTTTATATTATATAGTCATTAGTTTCGACTAAACTCTCAACTAAGTTTTAATGTAGCTACTACTAGTGTAAGGAATTAAATATCGCGATACACTTTGTTTAATGTTATATTTTCAGCAATCTAACATTAGAGTTTTCCATTTTAAAAAAATCAGAAGTCACTTTAATAAATATTAACAGTCTATTTAAACAGTTTGTGTACTAATCGAAGTTTGTAAGTCTTATCTTTGCAAAAAAGAACAATTAATATTCTTCGTATCGGTCGCAACTAACGTAAGTTTACACTCTAATGACTAATTTTCTGACATTCGGAATTACCGTCATTGTATTGAAGTCCAGGTGAATAGCCAATGCTTTTACTTGTCATTCGACAATACATACTGACCCCCTAATATTGTGTAAACACAAATTGTAGGTTACCTTTTTTTCTGACTGTTTGTTGCTGCGTTTTATTTTTTATGTGTAGTTAGTTATATTTTTGGATCTTTGGTTGATGTGTTATTTACTTGTTAAGTAAAGTAACTTTTCGTTTGTCTTTGTCCTATAGTTTGGCATGTCTTGTTTATTTTTTTAATTCAACGCATGAACATTGGAACCAAAATACTTATACACCATTCAAATCATCGAATTCATTTGTGGGTTCGGATACTGTGGTATTTTCAGGAGGTAACTCCCCTAGCATTTGATCTAAAAGTCTAATAGAAAACGCATTAGAGCAACGTTAGTAGTCCTACTGTAGCCAGTGATCAACAATATACTAATACACCATTTGTTCCCTTCAGGATACTGGTGCCCATGTGCCCCATTGGTTTGTAATCAAGATTTTTTAACCACCCTAGGTGGATTTTTCGTACTCATCAACTTGATTTAAGACCCAACCAACATTCACTTTTTGTCCTTTCAATTTCATAAGAAAAACTGCCACGAGAAGTCAGTGGGTAGGACTTCCCTGGTAGTTGGCTTTATAATCATGGTCATTGAGAGAATCGCAAAAAGGAAAGCGAACTCTCTCCACTTTTGACTTTACCAGGGCAATTCGATATAAATATGATCATATTTTTTTTACGAAGTTCCGGTATGTTTTGATTACCATAGTTAGATTGCATCTATGTCTTGGTAATGTTGTTCTCTAATGTATGTTCAGTTCATAATTCATCGGAGAATTACATGTTATCAATATTATCCATTTTTTCTAAGTTATTTTTCTACTACACTGAATACTATTCTTGTGTGTTACGTTTGTTATTTTCAGTACGATAAAAATTTATTACTATTTCGTTCCTCTATTTTCATCCTAATTCTTTCCCATTGTCAAGACACCAAATCTTCGTAAAGAATTACAAGTATCTGAACTGCAAGCTTTAGTGTTGTTACAGTTCAATCAGAAAGATAATGCTCCTATTACTTATACAACGATAGCTGAAAATACTGGTATTGAAGAAAAAGAATTGAAACGAACATTACTTTCATTAGCTGCTGGCAAAGGACAACGTGTGTTAATAAAATCTCCTAGTGTAAGTAAACTACTTTTGCATTTCTGTTTCTTTGTAGTAAATTCAACTGAAACTCACATATCTCTCAATTTCTAGCACACTCACCGCAAACCCTGAGGTTCTTAGGCTGGATTAGCTTTTGGAAACTTGCCTCACCGATGATGTAGGTAAGATACTCATCTACTAAACAAAAGAAGTTTTTATTGCGCAGCAATTCGCACGGTTCTTCTCTAGCCAAAAACAATAGAGGATATTCGTAGGTTACTACTATTCGATCATAAGTGTCTTGAAAGCATTGTTTATATATCCTGAGACAATCGATAACGAATTTCATGTACTTAGTTAGCTTAAATAACTGTCAAAATGTTCATGGTGGTTCAGAAGCAACCTTTCGTTGTTCATAATTATTATTTCCTTTTCCGTTTTATTGTTTCTTTAATTAAAGAGACTATCTCGGAAAAGGATGGTCTTATTATCCATTCTCAATCTAGGAGGCTGGACCGATGGGCAGAACACTTTAGGGATCAGTTCAACTGGCCTTCAGCCACACTTCGGTTGCCCACGATCTCCAGTCATCCTGAATGGCAAATCGATTTAAGTCCTCCCAGTTTACATGAAGTTGAGAAAGCTATAGGAAATCTAAGGGGAGGTAGAGCGGCAGGTCCTGATAGGCTTAACCCTGAGATGTTTAAGGATGTTGGTCCAGTTTTAACGGTTAGACTGACCGAGATCCTAGGTAGAATATGGGAAATGGACGTAATCCCATCTGACTGGTCTCAGTCGCTAATTGTCCCAATCTACAAGAAAGGACAGAAGTCCTCTTGTGACAATCACAGGGGAATAAGTTTAACTAATATAGTTTCTAAATTGTTAGCCTCGATTATACTTAGACGTCTAACTAGAGCTCGTGAAGAGCAGACTCGAGAAAACCAGTCTGGTTTTCGACCTGGACGTGGTTGTATAGACCACATCTTCACATTACGACAGGTTCTGGAACACAGACACACATTTAGACGTCCGACAATAGTCGTGTTCCTGGACCTTAAGGCGGCATTCAACTCAGTGGATCGTGATGTTCTGTGGCAGTGTCTGTCATTGAAAGGTGTACCAAAGAAGTACATTAACCTTATACAAGCACTCTACTCGAACACCACTGGTCGGGTGAGAGCATATGGCGAACTGTCATCTGAATTCTCTACATCAAGTGGTGTCCGTCAGGGATGTCCACTCTCTCCATTCTTGTTTAACTTTGTCGTAGACATCCTCTTAGAGTTAACATTAAGCTCGTCAGATTTTTCGGGGGTTGACGTTCTACCAGGAAAGTCGCTTACTGACTTAGAATATGCCGATGACATAGTTCTATTCGGTGAAGACGCTGACAAAATGCAGAGTCTTCTGACTACCATAAGCAACAATGCGAGCATGTTCGGGATGCGGTTTTCCCCCTCGAAATGCAAAATGTTGCTTCAAGACAGGGTTGCATCGGCACCTGAACTAGTGATAGGAAGTGAAGTAGTCGAGCGTGTATTCGATCATAGATGTTTAAGAAGCATTGCTCGTATACCGTGGGACAGCCGAGTAAGCAATGCTGTCGTTAGGAAACGAGTACTAGGTAAGGATGGCAGATCAATCGATGAAGTGGTGAAACTTCATCAGTTGAGGTGTTTGGGACATGTGTTACGTATGCCTAACCACCGACTGCCTCGACGAGCTATGTTTTGTGGCGTAGGAGTAGGTTGGAAGAAAGTTAGGGGCGGCCAGACCAAAACATGGCACAAATCCATGAAGTCTCTGACAAGTGTACTGAGTCATGTTGGTAGATGTAGACTACCTGGTTGCTGTCCGCGAGACGAAAGTCATCAATGGTTAGAGACCTTGAACGACATGGCTCAAAATCGTTTGCAATGGTGCAAGTGCATCCACTCTTTGAACTCTCTCAAATCCTAATCTTCTGGATTAGCCAGCACCTCTACTTGTGTCTTTCTAAGCTTATCTGACTGAATTATATTTTTTGAATAATATCTTCAAACCCTAGTCTTCTTTATTAACATTAATACCTCTACTATCTTTATCACTATGGGATTTGATTTGACATTTGCGTTTCTGTGCTAATAATGTGGTATGGCAACATGAACTTATGTACGTACATACGTACGAAGTTCTACGTTGCAACTGACTGACTGACTGACTTCTTTAATTATCTCTTCATATCATCAGTTTAAAATTGTAAACAAAACTAATCATTCGCCTACCCAAGCTAATACTATTATATCATGTTGATTTACTTATTGTCGGACCCATTCTGTTAATAATTTTTTCTGTGAGGCTATAGTGATTAGAATATTTAATTTTCAAATACTTACTATTTGCTTTTAATCTTGTGTGAACAGGTAGGTGGTATCATTAACTGTCAAATAGTTGTAGCTAATATTTTAGAGTAGGACATTGTTAAAATAACTTCCTATTTTTTTTAGATTTCTATGTACTTTTCTATCGTTTCTTATTGTAGAATTTAGAAATTGAAAACGATCATCAATTTATTTTCAATACCGAATTTCATCATCGGCTTACACGTATCAAATTCAATCAGATACAATTAAAAGAAACGGTAAAGTTATTTTTACCCACTAGTTCTTAATATCACTTTCTCTGAAATGATTGGACATTGATCTCTGTGTTATTCATAAGTTAAGCTGACTGATGAAATATCACTGTATCTTGTAGTATTACAACAATCACTACAAAGATTGCTTACACAATATTATATAAATTTGTTGTTTTTGGGAAGTGAGGAATTCAACTGTTTGAAGTGTCGTTTTTAACCGTCGATAAAGTCTATTAATACTTTTCAACTTGTTCAAAGTAAATTTACTGATTAACATTTAGTAAATAAGTGTTTACTCTTTATCTTCTACCTGAATAGCTTACGATTTTTAGTCGATTAATCACTGATTTAATCTATTGTAATGTTAAATTATTGATGGTCTTATGAGTTTCATCTAAAAATTCATTGGATGCGAATATAGCGTTTGTCAGGTTAATTGCGTTACAACAATATATTATATACTCACTGTTTATACCAATTGAAAAGTCAGTTAACTGTAATCCACGTGACGTAATTGTGCAAAGTAATCAGTCATTTGATTATGAGATCTAGCTGAAGAATTTAAGTAGTCCTCCTCAGTTTGACAATGTATTAAATCAAATTTCAATAATTTATAGTATGGTATGTATCTTCAAAATGTACATAATATACATTCTTTTCTTTTAGGAGCAAGAACAAGTGGCTACTGAAGAACGGGTGTTTGCTGATCGCGTTGCTCATGTAGACTGTTGTATTGTACGAATCATGAAAACGCGTAAAACTATTGACCATAATTCATTACTATCAGAAGTCTACAAACAATTACAGTTTCCACTTAAAGTAAATTTACTGTATTATTTAGATTTATTCTGTTCACTTGCATGACCTTTTTTTAACCCTTCGTCTAATTACGTCAGTATTGGTGATTACTGAAAATAAAAGAAGTTTCACTAACACATCTATCGAGTATCTGTGACCTATGTATATTCATCCCCTTTGGTATTCTCACAGATGTGAAGTACCATTATAAGCTGCTTCTCAATAACTTTGAACGTTTTGATAGCTATTTATGTATCTCATCATATCAAGCGTTTTGAAAACTGGTAAATATAAGATAAAAAGTTTTATTAACATTGAGATGTGGTTGGCCAATAGGCGAAAAAGATAAACTTCTCTTTGTGAAGACTACTATATAATTTAGTTTTTTATGTAAGAGATTGATTTCTTCTATGAATTCAGTGTGTGTGTGATTGCTTGTGTTTGTATCAATAAACGGTTGTCTGGTTTTAACTCTGGTCTTATGATTATGCTCGTGAATTGATTGAGTATCTGGTCTAGTCGTATTATCCTGTACCTAGGTCGTACTATCATGATAATCTGAAAATACTCTTATTTTTTACCCTTCATTGCAAACGTGTCAAGCTACAGCTCTAAAATGTTTTCACTTTAGGGACTTGTAAAACATAAAAAATTAGAGAATATTTAAGTATGGTTTTTATAAACTCTAGTTACTTATTAACTTGACCAATACGAATATAAATTCGTTTTATATTACTCTCCAATGTACAATCAATCAGCGACTATTTTATTGTAACTTTTAAATGTATTGTAGTTATTTTACAATGTTACTATTCTCTAATACCATAGCTAAGTTTTCTTGTTTTCTATGGGTCGCTTTCTATTATATACTTTCGATTTAGATCATTAAAAAACCAAATTTCGTAATTTCCTGCTTCCTTTTTTCTCCAAGTATCTGTAACATTTAACTGAGTGGTATGTGATAGAATGACAATCATAAAGATACTAGTAGAATACTATAACTAATACATGTAGAAATAGCATCCTTTTACTCAATTTTCAAACCACATTGCATAATTTATTTTTCCTTCACACTTTTTAAATCTGTTTTCTTCTATTTACATACCTGCAGGCAAGTGACGTGAAGAAGCGTATTGAAAATTTAATTGAACGAGATTATATGAAAAGAGATTCCAGTAATGCTGCCACTTATCATTATGTATCATAGATAAGTGTCACTTATCTGCTTTGAAGAAAATATCATTTCGTTTCCGAATATTTATATGTATATGATAGTTTTGTTATAGTTTCAAGTTCACGTTCTGATGAGCTACAGTTCTGAAAGTTATGTAAGCTAAGCTCCAAAAACTTGCTATCTTTATTCCCCTTTTTGTACAGCAGATTCTGTTAAACTGTCTGACTTTCGCTTTTTTAAAAACTAGTAACGGTCTATCACGTCATGTCATTATCCTTCGTGTGTGTGCTTATTTTTCAAAAACTGTTAATCTTTTCAACTGTTTTCTTGTTCATACTCTTTCGTTCGACAAATTACGAGCATTTTAATGAACATTATAGAAGTGAAAAAAATCTATTCCAACCGAAAAACTCATTTTTATTTTTCGTCTCTTTTTCATTTAATATCACTACTGTTACTCACTGAGTCCCAAACTTTGAGAAGGCTCGTTGAGAAAATAGTATCATCGAATATTTTCTGGTCTCATGAATATTATTTGGGATAGTATTTTGGCGTTCATCCTCTATCTTTGTATGCATCGTTTTGTTGAATGCTAAACGTAGTGAAGGGAGTTGTCGTTATAGGTTACAGACTTTATCTGAGCAGTTCCTATTTTGTGATGTTCCACCCTAGCCTAACTGTTTTTGCTAGTATCAGTGTGCGTATTTTAATTACTGATTATCCATTACCTAAGCATATTAGCAACTATGTTGTCAGCTTTCAAGCAACGGAGACTGACTACACAAAATAGGTGGGTTTTGGAAACCACATGACTGCACGAGACTTCATGAAATTCGATTTCTGGTACACAGTGACATTACAATCAGCTATTACCTCATTCCATTCTGGACTAAGCCTGATGCCCTTTTAGGCTTACTGATGGTCCCAAGTCCGGGTTAATGAAAGGATCAGGCATCGGATTAGCAACCACATCGAAAAATCTAACCAGAGGAAATAGACAAGGACATATGAACTCTTCTCCAGGAGTCTGAGAACCTTCATTAAGGAAGTTTCTAGCACCTAACGGTGAAAGCCGAAATTCCTCAAAAGCCAGAAAGTCGACGCGCATCTTGATGACTAGGGCAACAACTTACGTATGTACTTGTAATGCATCATGAAACCTTGATATGGTTTCGTCTGAGATACTGGAAAATTCGACTTATTCAGGACATGTCTCTACCGGTGGTTGACGGGAAAAATATTACCGAAGACTGTCCTTATTTGTGGCAAAATAGGCAGTCATGACAATCAACTTCAAAATTCAATCCAAAGTAATTTCGACATTATTGATCTATAATTTACTAGTCATCTAGCTTCCTATTTTCAGATAACTTTAGCTAACAGTAACACAATAATTGACTCCCAGATTTTATTCCAATTTTTTCATCGTAAGCAATAATGTGATATGAATAATGATCTACTCATTAGAAAATGTAGCTGGAAAGCCTTATTCATCGTGATTTTTACCTGCAGCCAGATTGTCGTGGACCAAAATTTTTTAACTTAGCCCGTTGAACTACACGCCTGTGATAACTGATAATAAATCACTATACTTATCTTCAAGCATGTTAAAGTTCATTTTCTAAGATTTGGTTTGAAAGAATATAAAGAAGACTGGATCAACCACGATAGGTCGTTAAAGGTGATTCCACAATGGTGGGATTCACGTTTGATAGAAATTTAAGTGGACTCGCGCGAGGTCTTAATGAAGGTCAAAATTTTTCAAAGCAAACAGTTACGTCTCAAAATTATTCTACACACTAAAATGACTTCGGAAATGAGGAAACGGCAGGAAAAACTTAGCATCAAAAAGATTACAACCGTTATGCAGTGAAGGATAGATGAATGTTCCTTTTGGGTACCCATTTTGGGTACTCATTTAAAAGATATTTCTTCCACATGTCTGGCAAAGATTGCATTAACAGCATCAAGAATCTAATATCATTAATAAGGAATAATCTATGGCTGCAATGTGAGTGTCTGGAGGTAATTCACAGTAGTTCAATATGTATAAATGATATAGCATGGAAGTTAATTAAATTTTTTCTATCTGCGCTGTGTTAATGAGTTCTTTAAATCGTTATTTCACAGCTCTGAGATATGGTTTTACTTGAAACAGTCAGTAACAGTCGAAAAAGAGATCATAGTGCAAGTAGAATGTCTCTGTGAATGATTTCGACCGTGGTTCCTATTTGGTAATGAGAATCAAATGCACTGCTCTCATAGTTCCAAATATCGAAGATCTTACCAACCAAGAAATGGCTGAAAACATCAACGCAAACTTCATCAAGTATCTCTATATTCGAAGTACCACTCAAACCTGGAATAATTTGTTGGCTCAATATTCGACGTACTTCTGACTTTGTGATGAGAAAATTAAAGTGCCTGCGCCCAGAAAAGTCACCATGATTTGGTAATATTTGCTCCCTAGCCTCAGACTGTCACAGATCAGTCGCATTACTACCAATAGTTGATGAAAGGGCTGTTGAACGAACAAATGAGTGTGTACATGGATAAGAACTAAATACTCGGTGCAACTCAACACGCGTTTTGAAAAGGGAGGTCGTGCACATACAATCTTCGCATGTCGTGGGACAGTAAGACAACCGGCCGGTTCACATAATATATCTTCATTTTGCAACGCCTTCGACACACACACTTCGACACTTAACTCCTAATTGAGTAGGTTGTAGAAATGCGCTTCACTGACCCACTCCTATCTTTGCTCAGCAAATAGCTTGATGATAGAAAGTTTCGCATCACGGAAAATAAAGTCCATGCAAGTTGGGAACACTGAGAGTTTCCCGGGGTACAATAATAAGTACACTTTTCTTCTTTATACTCATTAACGATCTTTTAGACAAAATCGGCTTAGCGAAATGGATCTACACAGATGATGCAAAGATCTGGAAGTCCATAAGAAGCAAAGAGGTTTCAAATAAACTTGAATAAGACCCTACATCGACTGAGGAATAGGCAGTGAAAACCGGTTAAAAACTAAACCATATCGTATGTTATATTATGACCTACTCGACAAGACACAAGTGACTTCCGGAAGTCCACTCCATAATGTCTACATAGAGCGAGATCTCGGTCTGATAATCATAGAAAGTCTAGACAGCAGTTCCAGCAACTTAATGATTCTATATATATGCGCTCACACCTTGAGGTTCACAGGGTCTCCTCACCCCCTCTCCTTAATAGAGACATGAATCTCCCGTATCTAGAGTAGAGACAAACAACGAAATATGTGGTAGGTTTGAATAAGACTTACAGAGAATTATTCTCTCTGACTTACAGGACAAACAGAGGTGATGTCATAATAATATACAATATATACATTGAAACATCACCACCACGAAATTCAAAGTAATCACCGTAATATCGCATCGTCATCTCTTTTTCCTTCACCTCACTAACACTTTTGTCCTCTTGCACATTATTCGCTATCAATTCATAAACTAAACTGTCATTTTATTTACTAAGTTCCAAAATCTCTTATTATTATTAGCGCTGCAACTAAGTGAGTTTCGGCCTGGTAATGTTACAGCTATCGGTATCCAGAAACCCTACTTTCCTGAAACACACGTACTCATTCAAATCACGGGTTATTCCAACTCACAAAAAACTGCCAACCAACCAGAATTAGTGCATTTGATTCGCCAGAGTACCATCCATTGTTTTCCACCAAACAGCTGAAACCGTACTGAGAAAACAAGAAATAGAACCAAGAAATTTATTGGCTTATACTCGCTCGTGAAAATATATTGGACATTGGATACTAGATACGGCTAGCGTATACAAACCATAAATCGCCTTATGTTATCGCGCATGCTTGTATTCACTGTTTGCAGTGTCGATGTTTAATTTTCATTGCTGTGAGCAACATTCTTATGCCAACATTGTAAACGTTGTGCTCATGAATGATAAAGAAATTTGTTATAAATTCACCAATGATACTCTAGTTGAAGATATTTTCCATGACGTATGTTCTTCTATGCAGCTGCATGAGCGCGATATTTTTGGTCTTGCAATGCACAATAGCGGTGTGCAATGTCTAGTTAAGAGCTTATAATTATTTTTAGATGAAGGGTGGCTGTTTATAGAACCAAGCGAGTTTATGTACAGGATAATATTTAAATACTTCATGCCAACAGGCCAAATGTGTTCCTCTGTGAGTTCCCTAAAATTTTGTTAAATTTTTAAAACAAGTCCATACGTAAACTTCAATAACTAATGTGAAGCTGCTATGACACTGATAAGGAGAAAAACAATTGCAGTGCATGCGCACTGAAGAGATCTTTTTATATTGTATCAGCATTCTTGGCCTCTCTAGCTCAGAACATGAAGAATTTGTGTTTTCGCCTGCTTTTGGTTCTGTATGATGAATCAGTGAACGTACGCAGTGTTTACGTTAACTTTTATTGCCTTCGTCGTAACATATCATTTTAAATCTTTAGCATTATAGATAGGATAGCCAAAGATGTCCTTATAATTTGTAATTTAGTAAAAATTAAACTTATTCTTGATGACTTCAACAGAAAGGAATAAATATGAATTCTCCATATGATGATAAAATTGTTAACAATATGGTTTTTGACAGTTGCCGACAGAAACAAATGAGGACTTATTTATTTTCAGGACTACTCAAGATTGTTGTTTTTTAAGGAGTTACCAGACACACTACTTATTTTATATGAGCTTGCAATAATAGTTCAGCGCTCTATTTTGAATTATACAGTTAAAAAAGTTAATGTTGGCATGTCATTCCTGAATTTTAAATCTCGGAAATTCTATTTAAGCGTTCTGTTCTAGTTATAGAATGGGGTTTTCTTTATGGAATAAGTAAAATAGTTTAATATCGTAAAAATAATTAATCAGCTAGAAGAGCGGTTTGAGAAAATAAATTTCGTTTGCCGGATTTTCTGACTTACACTCTAAGTCCAATTGATAACTACTACACTTATAATTGTTGGCAGTCACTTCTATGTACTATAGCAACAGCTTGTCACTGCGCAGATGACCAATAGATGTCTATATTATTGTGAGGTTGTGTAAAGAAAAGTTAATTTTAGTTATCTGAAGATCAACACAGATGACATATTGATATAGAACAAAGGAATTCCCAACCAAGTCTAAGCCAACATATTGAACTCATCCTTCATGAATAACAAAATACTTCCTATTATCTGTTGATACAAAATCCTTATGCGGAATTCCAGGATAACACAATTATAACCTTGGTTGACTTGAAAACTGGAGAAATACAACTAGACTCTAAAAAATGACCAATAGATTTTCGATTCAAGTAGATGGACGTTGATGAAGTCGGAGCAAATAACTTTTGTTGTCTACTAAAACTATTGGCTAGAAAAGTTTACACCAGAAAACTGTCTTTATAAACAGTGATCTCGTTTAGAATGTTCAGTTTTCAAAAAACCTTTGATGAAATATATACAGAAGACCATTTTGTTCAGCAACTATATCACGTAGCTTTTTACTCACGTTCCGACCCACTAAAGGAGATCAAATTGGACTTTCAACTATATAAACAATGCATTGATGTGATTATATCACTTCATTTAGCTTTTGTCAAAACAAATATAGGGTATCCAAAACACATTATTGTGTCAACGCATAAATCTGTGATACAAATGATCATGTTTTTGTCAGAAACTACGAAACAATAAGGCACTCGCTTGTTCTGCCTTATGTAAGTATAGGATATGATCCATGCATCAAGGATATTACATCCTAGATTTAGTTGAGCTAAAATTTCATGACTAACAACCACATTTTATTTGTGCATATAGCTTCGTAAATTAGACATCCATTTTATTAGATGAAATTTTACTTTGAAAACCACATTATAACTAAACCTACCTTCTCTTTTTGGAAAATCAGGTATCATCTAGATGATTTCTGAATCCTCATTACTAATTGATTTCACCTCATAGACATTTAAAAACAAGGAATAACTGGATAAAAGATTCAGTCATGTTTGTGACGAGCTAGTGATAAGGACCCACGGCCAATTCACTCTATATCGCAAATAAGCTTGCAGTAAGACAAATGAATCCACTCATTCCACTAGGAAAAAAACATTTTTTCCGAAGTATACGGTGCCAAGCTCCCTTTGAATGGTCAAACGTTTGAACGATTTTGGGTGCTTGTCATTTTTATTTTAAAAGGATTGAATATTTACTTGTTACTTTTAGTTCATTAATTATGATGTGAACCTCGGAAGCGTGTAGGTAACGGAAAAACAAACATTTTCACTGCATTTATCAATCAAGAAGATACGGGTTGTATCATTGTGATTACTTTCTATGCGGAGTCATTTTTTAGCCAACTAACGGTGAACTTATTATTGTTATGAATTATTGAGAAAGCTTCCTGTCATCAAGTATCAATTACATTGCTATGTAGTACAGGCAAATTGACAATGTATAAATTTATAAATTTGTTCTAACAGTCAGAGTATGGTCTCATCATAGTAAATCAAATGTTGTTTATTTACAGTCTTCTCAAACAAAAATTTCTCACAAATGTTAGTACCGCGTCCAGCAATTATATATGCATCACATATTATATAAAAATGCAAACTTACGTCACGATATTTACGTTTCTTTGACTTCTCGTTGTAATTGGTATAAAACGTCGGTGTAGTGACTTGTAATGTCTGCTGATACTACTATTTTTTTTACCGTTTCCCAAACAAATAAGGGTCGATTTAATTTAATAGTTGCTTTAAAACATTTTAGGATATCGACTCGACATCCTGTGCCCAAGAGGTATTTGGTAATTGCGCTACTTAGGATATTTCTTCCTTTTGATCAAAGGCGTTTTGGAATTTGCTGTCCTTTCTTTTCAGCCGTTATACATGCTTTTGGAGATAGATGTAATGTCACAGACACATGGCAGTAATATGAAAGGTGTATTGATCGACCAATTAATGAACTACAGAAAATTTTTTCTATACGACAATAACAGGTTGACTTGATGTTAGGTTCCGGTTATTGCAGTCTTAAACCTCTGAACGGCTGGTTTTTCAAATTTATTACCTTTGAAGTTAAGATAGACAGGCGTCAATTTTTATTTGCTGTAGCTAAATCTGACTTGTTTTCTTTAATTCTTTTAGATTTGTTAATGAATTTCTGTAAACAGCGGTTTTCTGTTAAGCAGGTTTCGATGTTTATCGATTCTCCTCATAGTTTGTCGGCAATACGTTTCGTTTTAACTCTACAAACTTTTAAAGGACGTTTCATAGTTGTTGTCATCATAGACTTTAATAAATAATCTAATGATTATGAATGATTAAAAGCGTGCATACCATTTCCTTGAATTTGAGATCAGTTTTATCTATATTATTGTGTAAACTAACTTTCATGAAACGCATCTAGTATTCTATTTCAAATAAAACAGTTAGCTACTTTCGACTTATTGTGGTGAACTCTGCTGACATTTTACCGTTTTCTATGGAGCACTAAACAATTGACACTATTTGAGTTCTTTGATTTGAATTGACCTATTCATTTTTTGTGCTTTAGTGGCTCAGAGTCTGACTTCAGTTTGACAAACGACTGAATATTCTATGAAATATATATTCCATTTTATTTTCGTTTTTCATTCTTATATGAAATTCACTTTTGCAACGGCGGTAGGGTTTATTTCTGGTGAATTGTGATCATATATTTGCATAAGCTGACAGACATTAGAATGAGAAGTGTGAATGCAAAGTCAAGTAGAGAGGGCTATTCGGCCAGTTTCTTGTGACGAGGCATGACTAGGTATTCATAGTCGTGCACTTAATTAAAAACAACCAAGGCTATTAGCGAATACTTGACAAGGTAGAAAAACATATGAATAACTCGAAAACGATGGATTAATTAATTTGTTCAAATGTTGGAACAATTCATGTGAGCTCGATATATTAGTAAATTAGACAATACATTTCAAATCTACGATTAATATGTTGGAATCAATTAAATATTTCATGAGTGTTAGACACATAGCACACAAGGCTTAACTTTAATTAAATCCTAAAATTGCATGCATAGAGAAATACTTTTAACACTAAAACTTTATACGCAAATGAAGGTTATTGTGACACATTTTGTTGTTTATTTGATTTCAGTCAACGAATAAGTCAACATATCATTCTCCATTACAATCATCGCCATATCCAACTGTATATTTTCGCGTCAGATTTTATATTCCGATTCATTGTTTAAATGAACGCGCAACGCAACATATTTATTATATGCAACTAAGAAAAAATTATATTTTTTATGGATTATTCTGTGATCCGAATGTATACTTACAGTTAGCAGCGTTTGCATTACAGGCTGAATTAGGTGACGCACCAAAATGTTTTAACCCGGAGTCTGACACATCCTACTTTTTACCAGAAGTTTATTATCCTAACAAAGTAAGCTGAATAATTTTTTTCTTGTGTCTTGACAAATAAATGTTGCCAATAGATGGTCGAATCAGTTAAGTGGTTCAGGTTCCCTGTTTATTAGTGGAAGAACGACAAGCTTTATTTGTAATCACTGAACCCAAATCTTATGGTGATTTATTAGGTGTTTCTACTGAACCAAAACTGAGGGGTAGAAAGTATCGACTCGGTAGTCTGATCCTATGAGGTAATCAGTGCTAATATTTAGTTACTTAGCTACGTTTGCCATTAAAAATTGGTTAACAATAGGAACGCAACAACATAATATCGGTCAGTATTCATTGGTCAGTAAATGTGACCTTTATTGGTTAAGTATTTGTGTAAGCCGAGTAACTTGTAGTGTGTGTAGTTTAATGTTGAACCCACAGAGCTTGTTTCAGCCATTGGACATATTAACTAATCCATTTTTCAACCCCACTAATTATCCGCCTATCTTTCTGTTGCTTTTATTCCAGTGTGTTTGCGTACGCCTGCTTCGTTTATTACACGTCCAGCTTATTTCTGTCTGACTGTAAATACTCATCACTTCATCGCATATATTTGACTTTCTCGCTTTCTCCAGCTCGTTTCACTTTGCTTGTATGCTTCTTGTTCTTATGTCTGTCAACGATTGCCTGAAATAAACTCATCTAACTGAGTCCCTATCTGGCTTCTTATGATCGCCATCGCACAAATAAAGTTCGCTGAAGTAAGATATACGTAAACTGAAGGGGAGATTCACTTCATAGCATATTTAATTGTACGTAAATATCGGAATGAGATCGCGGATCACTAAAGTGGTGAGCCCTACATGGAATGTAATGCAGCCAGAAACTCTTTAATTAAATCATGTAAGGTTGGTATGAAAGGTCTCTTGACGATGAAATTAGTTTGCTAAAAGATGTAGATACTCATTGGTAATGTAATACGTAAATCATAGATTCCCCGCATATTAATTCCAGATCTCTAACACAATGTATTGAAATAAAAATGTGTTGAACAAATATTTTACTGATAACGACTTAAAATTTCAACAATATATACTTAGCAACCGAAGAGAGAAATATATGAGTTGTTAGATGAACATTACTTCAATGAACTAAAAAAATCTTCATTAAGTTAAATATACCATGCATTGATTTTCGTAGGTGGTATTCAACTAGGCAGTTGTTTATTCTATTCGTTAAATTCATGTCTAGATGACTAATTTTATTATCTGATATTAAGTTGAGAAAGAGAATAAAACTAGTGAATATCATATATTTTAAATTTATTTAGTGTGATCTGAGAGTTTAGATTGTTTACACTAAAGCCATACGAGTTAAGTATTACCTGTTCAACCGTGAACTGTTCATATTTTCGACAGCCTATTCATATTCATCAACAGTTCAGTCATAAAATGTGATGTACTCATACCACACACTAAAAGCGCTTTCAACCTACCTATCAATATTCCTCAACAGAGAAAACTTTAGCATGTTTAGCCAACAAATCGAGTTTTATCGTAAAAGATTGCAGACTCAGCGTGTTATAGCATAGGATAGCTCGTAAAAGTCTAGTCCGTTGATAACAAGCAAGTATTGGACACTGCATTTTTTTCAGCATTAAACATCGATGATTTCATTCATTAAGATTACCATTATTAACTATGAATATTAGTTTAACAATAATGAAAATTTTGTTAATATTAGTTGTACAAAGAGACATCAAAGTAAAGCTTATCACAGTTCTGTATCGGCCCAAATTACCATAGCATGTCAACATAATGAGATGAAATCAACAATATGAACACCAAAATAGACAATAATTATGCAGAAGCAATGATGAAAAAGACTAAACATGGAGAATACAGTTTAAAAAAAGACTGCAAAGATTTGTATATAGGGATACTCGAAGTCAACATTAAAAGGAAAACAAACAATTAGTGTTATTGAGCCATTCTGAAAGATTTTAAGAAATCTCATTCAACGTCTAGAAATATTGTTTGCCATTATAACACAGATTCAAAACGAGTAGTCTATTTCTTCCAGTAGGGTTCAGACCACTAGTCAATGATTATACTGGCTCGGTTGCCACAATTCTACCAGCCTTTTCGTACACCAGCCAACACCATTGAAGTACCAGGTGTGTATAGTTCCTTGATGAATTCGATTATTTATTATTGTTGTTAGAATGAAATTTCTTACCTAAATATTTTACACTATTTTGGTTTGATTTCTTAGAACTCCCTTTTCACTGATTACCAGTGAAGTCTATCCAGAAACATATTTAAAAATATATAACTTTTTTACATCCATTATACTGATTATTGATTGAAACAGTAGGGCTGTTAATACGACGGTATTGTTTACATTTCAAAAACATATATGCATTATATGATCTTTATATCTGTAAAATGATATCTTATTCTACTGAATTTCAATCGCTAAACATTTTTCGTATTAACACTTAGTAATGTGGTGAAAACTTGAAAAATTTCATGTGTTAAGTTAATGTCAAATAAAATATTGCATTGCAATTTGAAAAAAGCACAATTGCTTTTCCATAAACTATTCTTTTTGCACAATTTCGAAGAAATACGTTTTACAAATTTTAAAAGACATCTGTTAGCTTTTCCTACCGTTCCTCATGTGTATTAATATTATTATTATTTCTGTTAGTTTGAGTTGCACTTTCATCGAATACTGTCAGACAAAAAATTATAATTAATGAGGTGTTTACTATATGTACACATGCGAACATTTGATGTTTACTAGAAAGAAAATTAAACCACCTGAATTCAAGTTTCCACGATGAAGTAAATTCAAAACAGATGAATAACCATCTTAAAATGGAAACTTGTCGACTTCTAATCATGACACGATATTTTATCGGCTTTAAGCTCTCAGTATCTGCTTTAGCGAGAATGAGATATATGAATAGCCGGGCGAGAAGCTTTTTTAATATGTACAATTTTTACGATGATGATAAACAGTATACTAAATTTCGTAAGTCAAGCTAATCATTTGGATTCATTTGAAAAATAGTAGTAGATAGGTGTTTGATGAAAAGTGATGTTTTGATTTTCATGAAATATTTTCATTTATTCTATCTGAAATATTATTGTACTGAGGTTACTGATATACATTAACCACAACCATTGGGCAGTAATCACAAATACTGAAACGAGGCTTACACTTTGAATTAAACTAAATTCTGTTCACAGTTCCGCATGAGCTTTGATGCAGCTGAAAATCACTGAATACTCAGTTTTCATTATCTAATTTAAGTATTATATACTTTGACGCTTTTCTAGAATGCCCAATCAAAAGATGGTAACCAGTTCACTGTTTTCTATTCCTGCATGTAAGTAAAGTATTCAAAGGTCAGACGACAAGACACTAGTCAATGTCATTTAATCAAAGAAAAAGCATTAGTTAATCATACAGAGAATTGATTGCTTTAAGACTACATTGATAAGTTATGCAATACGTATTTACTCTACACACTAATGGTTTACTAAGATAATTCTACTCACATTGTGTTCAGATTAGAAAAAAGTGAATATTATACAGATTAGTCATAAAATTTTTAATACCAAACAGTTTTTAACTTTATAAATTCCTATAATGTTGAATTCAGATTTCATTGTTTACAAAATTTAGTTTATTAAATCGTGGAATAGTGTTGAACTAGTATATCACACTTATATACATCATTCTGCGCTTCGTAATACCGTAGCCTACCTGGCTAAATTTCATTTTATTCATTTGGCAACGAAAGTGAATTCAGATTTCAATTTACATTTATATCCACTTGAGAAACCTGCTCAAAAATGCCGCTTTTCTGTATGGGTTGGTATTAGTCCGAAGGGATTTACATTATATCAGGTAATGGAAACAAAATGATCAGCTGTAGTATTCAATTCGTTTATATGATAATCGTTCAAGAATTATTATACTATTAATTACATATAGTTATCATTATAATATTCTATTTTCCATCCGAACTTTTATATAAAGATTATTTATTTTAGGTTGAAAAGTTGATATCATTTTTGAAAATACTGACTCTATACTGTAATGTATTGTCCAGTTGTGAGTTATACTCACATAATCTATCCCCTGCTTATCTAGTAAATATATCTTAGAATGACAAAGTAAAAATTCACTATCAGGTTCTTTTTAGATTGGATTTCCATCTACCAGAAAATGGAAATATGGAATAGTGTGATATTTAGAACACTGTTTGATATTATTTTCTTGAATGCTCAATGATATTAACAATGTAACCCATATATTTATGAAAAATATTGAACACTATTGACAATTATTATTATTATTATTATTATTATTATTATTATTATTATACATTCATATGCATTCTAATGTAAATAAGGCAATCTATAGTTTGATAATTTAAGGACATCACAGTTTGAGCATTCATTTCTTTCAAGTATAATGTATTTAACATTCTGATCATAAATCTCACGTTGATCATCTTTTGATGAGCCATCATTTTCTGCAAAATTGATAATTTTAATGTCTCTTGCAGAGACAGCACACTTTAATAATCAAATCACTTCAAAAATATTACCTAACAAATTGCTTGTAAATGTAATTATCGTAGTCTTCAGAAACGAGGTAGGATCTGATAATTTCATAAGATATTATAAACCTTCCCAAATCGCGGTTTGCGTAGAATTCACCTCAAAATAAATGTTAAAAGGATAAGCATAAATTATCGAATAAATTACGAAATAATGAAAGAACTTCATTCAGTTATAAAAGGGAATAAGGACGTTTAAGTGAAGAAAATTCACTCTTCATTGATGTTATTTTCTTATTTTTATATTTGTTCAAAATTTTATATATGGTAATCTGTAGTAAAATAGAAGACTGTTATATCATTATTCAAATTCCTCAAAGATTTTCAAACGTTTTCGAACACATTACTTGTTTACTCACTTACGTCTGTTAATCCTAATTAGCATAGGTCTCCAACCGGCATTTTCCAACCTACGCTGTCCTGAGCCTCCGTTTCCAGTTCGGTTCAATTTTTGCTAATCCTTCTAATGTCTGTCTCCGTTTCTCGGCATAATGTGTTCCTTGGTCTTCCTCTTTTCCTTTGACCTTGAGATTTCCAAGTGAGGGCTTGTCTTGTGACGCAGTTGGGTGCTTTCCTCAATATGTGTCCTATCCACTTGCACCGCTTCTTCCTGATTTCCAACTCCACTGGAATCTGGTTTGCTCTCTCCCACAGTTCGTTGTTGCTGATGGTGTCTGACCAACGAATCCGAAGTATTTTGCGAAGACAACTGTTCATAAACACTCGTATCTTCTGGATGATGGCTTTCGTAGTTCTCCAAGTTTCCGCTCCATACAGTAGAATTGTCTTGATATTTGTATTGAAAATTCTGATTTTGGTGTTTGTTGATAGTTGTTTTGAGTTCCAAATGTTCTTTAATTGTAGAAATGCAGCCGTTGCTTTGCCGATCCTCGCCCTCACATCTGCATCGGATCCACCTTGATTGTCAGCGATGCTGACCAGATATGTAAAGGGTTTTACATCCTCCAAGCATGTTGTATTGTATCGTAGAATCTTACTTTTCTATTTATGTATGTTGAGACCTGCTACTGCAGAGGCTGACACTAGTCGTCTTCTCTTGCATTTGTTGTTGCGTGTGCGATAGATGAGTCAGGTCATCTGCGAAGTCCAGATCGTCCAGCTGCGTCCTAACTGTTCATTGGATACCGTGCTTCCCTCCAGTCGTCGACGTCTTCATAATCCAGTCGATCACCAGGAGAAAGAGAAAGGATGAGAGTTAGCAAGCTTGCCTCACACCGGTCTTCACCTCGAAAGAGTCTGTCAGCTGTCCTCCGTGCAAGATTTTGCAGTTGAATCCATCATAAGAGTTCCGTAAAATGTTAACTATTTTCTCAGGCACACCGTAGTGTCGAAGAAGAATCCATAGTGTTTTCCTATCAACGATATCGAATGCTTTCTCGTAGTCGATGAAGTTGATGTAGAGTGGTGAGTTCCATTCAATTGATTGTTCCACGATGATTCGCAATGTTGCGATTTGGTCAGTATACGATCGATTCCTACGAAATCCAGCCTGTTGATCTCGAAGTTGGGAGTCTACGAAGTCCTTCATTCTGTTTAACAGTACCCTGTTGAAGACTTTGCCTGGTATTGAAAGAAGAGTGATGCCTCTGTAGTTCTCACACTTGCTGAGATCGCCTTTCTTTGGTATTTTGATGAGGTATCTTTCTTTCCAATCTGATAGTACTTGTTTCTCATCCCAAATCTTGTTGAAGAGAATGTGAAATATTTTTGCAGTTGCTGCCACGTCTGCTTTCACTGCCTTTGCTGGAATGTTGTCTGGTCCTGCTGGTTTGCTACTCTTGACTTGCCTGATGGCCATGCTGATCTCTTCAATTGTAGGTGCGCCAATATTATTTGGGAGGTCCGATGATGGTGCTTCGATGTTGGGTGGGTTCAGTGGAGCTGGTCGATTCAAGAGTTCCTTAAAGTGCTATCTACATGCTTCGCTGTTCCTCAGTGTTGCGGATTACATTGCCTTCCTTGCTTTTAACTGGTCATTCTGGTTTACTATGGTTTCCGGCGAGCTTCTTTGTTGTATCGTAAGATTGTCTCATGTTTCCTTCTCTCGCAGCCTTTTCCGCAGTCATTGCTAGATCCTCGACATACTTTCGTTTGTCAGCTCTGATGCTCTTCTTCACTTTCCTTTTTGCTTTTGTGTATTCAACTTGTGCCTTGGCTTCTCTGCTCTTGTTCGGCTGGTGTTGATTACAGCCTTCTTATTCCTCCTTTCTTGAAATTTTTCAAGAGTATCAACAGAGATCCATTACCTATGATGATGCTTCTTGTGACGCACAACCTCCTGACATGTTGACGTTATTGCTTGTTTGATCCGTTTCCAGTTGTTTTCCACAGTAGTTTCCTTTCCATTGAGTAGATCGTGAAAAAGCGGAAACCCATTGCCGAAGGTTATCCTATATTCGTTGAGTTTGTCAGTATTCCGAAGAAAGGCCGTATTAAACTTCTGTGATGTTGTCTGCCCCGTTAGCAAGTGCTTCCTAAGTTTCAATTTCATTTTGACGACCAGCATGTGGTGATCTGAGGCTATATCAGCTCCTCTCTCGGTTCTCACATCCTCCATGGTTCTTCCAAACTTTTTATTGACAGAGATATGGGCGATTTTGTTGTTAGTAGTGTGATGTGATGAAATCCATGTAGCTCTTTGTATGCGCTTGTGTGGGAATATTGTTCCCCCGATGACCATATTGTTGAAGGCACATGGGTTCGCAAATCCCTCACCATTTTCATTCTTTTCTCCTAGTCCATGCCGTCCCATGATGTCTTCATATCCAGTGTTGTCCATGCCAACCTTGGCATTTAGATCTCTCATTAGAATCGTCAAATCCTGTAAGTGCTATGTAGACGTGTTGCATCATTTAATAAAGTAATTAGAATTTATTGAAAAAATTGGAGTATTGAATACAATAGTCTACAAATAAAAAGATGTCATTTCATTTCAAAAAGTAACTAAGATTACCAAAAGTTTTCTTTACAGAACTCTACTGTTATGAATCCATAATTACTGTGCTTGAATCGATTAAATATTAGAGTTTATTGAATCGGTGTTGCAAATGGAAAATGGTAAATGCTATGTTGAATGACTCTCAAATACTGCTGAATGAGAAGAAAGTGTGTTATTGCTTCTAGTAAGATTGTACATAACACGTGAGAAAAATGAGTTCTAAATAAATCAGTAAATAAAGTCGCATAAATCAATTGAAAACAAAAGAGAAATTTTCATACCATGGTTTTTGTGACAATAATAATAATAATACTTATTTTAATAATAACAATGATTACCTGTAAAAATATCATGTTGGTTTATTATTGGTACCTCTTACTCTTAACGTTTGATTAAAGGTGAACTATAAGAACTTGCATATGATTAATATTGATTTCTTAGTATCTAAGTTGTGTCATCACCGAAGCTTTGCGTTGATCTGTAGCGTTTATCGAGTAAGAATATCAAGCTATGTGACTAAATTATAAGCAGAGATGAATGTTGGCTAGGAATAGAATACGCGAGATGTGTTTCTTCGTATATGAGAGTCATATGCTGAACGTATATGCGTTTCAGAATTGTATTTCACTTCAGAACCGGAACCTAGTACACCACCACCTTATCCACTTGGTTACAGAAACCAAATAACCATTGGCTTGTTCAGTGGAGTTCGAGTCCCGTAATAAACATCAATTCTGGGAAGTAGGTATATCCAGCTGATCAGTGCTAAATTGGATGAAACGGTCGACCTGGATTTGATGTTAGCCACTATCCATAATCCTTGTAACTTAATGCTAATATTGTGGCAATCTGCACCAAATGCTGATATATCGAAGAGATTGATCAACTTCAATTCCAAACATAAATGGGAAAATTCAAACAACTAGTACAAACATTTCATGCCATTATACTTTATGGAAAACTAATTTTTACAGTATTGAGTTAAAAATATCATTCGAAAGAGGTGGTCATGAATTTCTTTCTCACTGGCATTCATCAGTTAGGTTTATTCAGAAAGTTTACGAAACGAATGTATTCATGCGATATTAGGAAATGATTTCTTCAATTTGTATCAAAATGAGATTTATTGGTGACAGACAATCGTATTCATTCGGATCTCTGTCTGGGCATCAGATTTCTAAAGATCGTAGCTATTGTTTTCTAACGCGTGCCAACAAAAAAAAAGCTCAGACTCAGTTTCTTTTGTGAAACTCTTTAAATTACCCAGAATAACTTTAGTATCGGTAAAATAGATTTCAAAATAAAGCTAACTTTTAGTATCAGTTCATGTAATAAATTTTTTTTATTTTATATCATGGTTTTAGCAATTTCCCGATAATTGGATTGTTCCAACTAATCGTATTAAATGGAATGAAATTAAACGAATCTATTATGATGTAAGTACATATTATATTGTCTAAATAGTAAAATTCTCTTTAATTTATGTATATTTGTCTTAATCTTTTAAAAATATTAATTTCCACTTCATTTTCATGATTATGGTTTGCTTTTACTTATGTAATAAAAGCAATTCTGCCCATCTTTTGGTCATAAAAACTAATATCAACGTATGTCTGAATCATCATGTGAAATGATTTCATATTTATTGCAATGCAAACAATTGACTAGCTAGTCGTTACTAAGTTACATACACACCTACCATTGATTATCATTTACGAGTATGGAGAAACATTTTATGCATATACAGACAAATATATGATTATCAAATGTAAAAACTAAATTCATTGAGTACCAAATAGACAAGTAAATATACTTGAACAAACCTTTATATCGATTAAATTAGATGGAGAAACTACCTTGTGATGATATTTTCTGCCCTTAAATAATCAGTCTTATTTGTTTACATGTGCAAGACAAATATATCAAACTTCGTACATTAAAAAGTTGAAGGTCATGAAGGTCATTGTTAACACAATGCATTCGTGATACATATTTTTGAAAATCATGACTAATCAATCTCCTTAAATTATTATGAAAATATTGCCTAATTAAATTAGTTAAAAGTGTCGAAAGCTAATAAGATGAATAATCAGTATGACACAGATTGCTAAACGGTTTATCGATTGTTTATTTTTATTTATTTGAATACATAAGCATACGTACAAAAGGGCATAGAACTATGCATGTGCGCACAAAAAAATCAGACTGTGAAGGGATAGGAAGGAGAAGGTAATTATGATTAGTGAACGAGAAAAAAAATAATAATGCGAGAAACAGATTAGTTAAAAAAAATACAATCGCAAAGGATTCCAGCTGAAGTCCCTCTCGTTTACATGAATAAAGTGAAGGAAAATTAAATTATGACTGACAAGAGTTTCTGAATGATAATGTTTAAAGTCACTGCGGTGTGTAATAACTAGGACCTTGAACCAGGGAGTCTTGAAGATCGAACAATCCTGTCCAGCTTTCTTTCATGCCAGCACTTCATGTTATATACTGACCAACTCTCCGATTTTCTCAGGAAGTCCCAGTGCCCACAAAAGATGCACGCTGTGAAATTCGCTAGGATGACATTCGTAACACATGTTCTAATTACCCGAAACCGATGTTTCAAGATGGTGACACCAAATGAATTTTCATCACTATGCTCAAGCACACACTACCAACACAATGTAGCTATCGGATGCCAGAATTCTTCGGAACATAGATAGTCTCCAAACAGTCTCAACTCTGAAACGCTAGGTTTCACAAGCATAGAGCAGGACTTATCTCACCGATGCGTTGTAGATCCAACCTTTTAAAAACACTCCAAAGATTCCAATGATGGCCCAGATTGTCATAAGTCGCTCTAACCCTCATCATAGTTTCATTGATTTAATTTGGTTTTGACCACCAACACTCTTGTTACGGAATATATATTATAACAGATCAATTTCATTTCCTCACTATTTGTTCATTTGACCAATCACTAGTTGCAAGGATAAAGGTGATTACCTACAATAATTACCTGATTATATTATGTTGTAACCTCCAAAAACCTGCAGATTAAAAAGTCGTTTTATAGATGATGCGAACTCTTTTTTAAAAGAGGGACAACATGCGAGTCATTTTATGATACAAGGTAATATTGGTGCAATTTGGGACATGATCAAAATCCATATAAGAACTCCAAGAGGAGCGGCAGTCGTGTACACAACTACGCGGCGGCGACTGGTCACAGAGTGATGAATCTGAGTTCGTGCATGAGATACAGAGAGGGGCGATTACAGGTATCACATCAGCGATGAATTTGGTGATAGTTAGTGCTATCTATAAGCATGTTGTAGTCTCCACAAAGTTACGGTAGACGTTCGCCGTCGTCTGACCTACAACCAATAGGTGATAGAAGGAAGGTTCATGCACCTTTTTTTTCTTAGGCTCTTGGAGTTCATGCGCATCATTCAAACAATTGAGAAATGAGAAGTAAATGAAAGATTACTCTTTAAAATTACATTAATAGGAGGATTTAGGGAAAGTAATTCTCCCTATTTGAATAGAAAATACGTTTAAAATAATTAAATCATAATTTCTACATCTGAACACGTGGATATAGAAAAGTCAGTCAATGTAAATAGATCTATTTTTCTTACTGATTACATAACGTTTTGTTTCAAAGACTTAAATAACACTTACTTAATCCCTATTGATTCATTAGACGTCAAACTAACAAAAAATGTTTTTTTCTATATGGCTATGTACACCATATTTATACGTTTTAAATATATTGATAAAAATTATTTCCGCCTACAATTAACAAATGAATATTTTTATGTGATTGCCTAATTACCACCTGCTTATTTGTAAAAAAGTACAAATAAATTTTCCTATATTACCATCAAAATTTATGATCAAGTTTCCAACAAGTGTAAGTCGTAAAGAAGTATCTATAAAGACAGAATAGTGTAATCATTCAGAAATCCGTAGTAATTTGCAAATTAATAACGTCACAAAGTTTGATAGTAAGACTTAAAGTTACAACAAGACGAACATTGTAAAAGTTGTAACTTTTGATATAGTTTTCAAATAATTATTATTTATATTCTTATCGAGTAATCTATCGTTGGTTCATTCTGAAGTAACACTATGTTAAACCATTAACGTGGATAGCCAAACTATCGAATTTTTGAGCTGCAATTTAAAGGATTGTCTCCAAACGCCATCATACAAACGAGGGCGGGAAGACTTCGCTCTTTCTTTCTGAAAAAGCTCTTACATAATCACCCATATATAGCCACTACCAAAGTAATCCTACTCACTGTCTTTTCGTGATGATGGTTTCCAATCATTTATATTTCTGATTTTAATTCTTTTAATGCATTATGATGTCAACTCTTCCTCGCCCTTATCTTACTGTTCATGATTCATTTCTTTAATCCATAGCATCGCACTGTGACTGTTCATTTACGTTCTAAGGCTCGAAGACGTGAATTCAAAATGCAACGAACTTTATCAGCAAGACATTTGTTTGCATTGATTACCAATATGCATTTCTATCAGTCAATAGCCGAAATGTCAGCAACTCGTTCAAATGATTTATTAGAAAAAATTGGTAACTAAATTAACTGAAATAAGTTTTTAATTGAGCATACTAATCCATATTTCTAATGTCATTGATAATAACTAATAATTAGTTTATGAATAGTCTTCACCACTAATCGATTATTTTGATTGTTACAGTGAAGCTTACAGATGTGATAACAAATTTCTTTAAAAGGTTTAGAAATATTTTTGGTATTAAGCCAAATTCCTTCTCTTTCAATATTTGGACAAAAAGAATGTTTAAAATATTTTCACATCTATCCAAAAGTACTGTTTCGTAAATTATTGGTAATTTTAAATAAATCCATAAACATATATATACAGCAATAAACTGTTTTTATTTCTTTTGTTTTCAGAACTTGGAGATTTTAGAGAATTATCAATTTAACACTATTTTTATGCAATGAATAAAGAGTTAGCACGTAACTAGTCAAGACGTGTATCAATCGGTGATATCGATCATGCGTCGTTATTTTATATCAATGCAAAGAAATTATGTATTCGACCATCATTCTCATGAGTATGATGTTACTGCTTAGATGTAATGTAAAAGGCTACAATTTTGTATGCTATTTTGTGCAGAGGTTTTTGTATCATGTTCTTTTCTGATAAAATTTCGTCAAATATATCGATTTATTTTTTCTAAAATGAAACAAGAGTTTCAGTAGTGTGAATTATTTTGTTCGTATAAAAAAAAACTAGATAATGTTTTTTATCATCTAGTTAAATTTCATTCATTCACATTGTGTTGAAGTTCGAAGTGAACATACGAACTTGTGTCAAAATGCCCAAGTCAATAATCATAACTAGTTCTAGAATTTTAAATTTTTTTGAAAAGCATTTTGTTAGTTTCGTGTCACTGATGAATATTTTATATCTACAGGTAGACTGATGAAAAATACCTAAATAGATATTGATAAATTACTATAAGTGAAAAAACTATCCTATAAATTAGCTTCATGAAGTTATGCGATTGGTGAATGAACATCTACTTGTTTGAATCGCTGCATTCTTTCACAGAAAACAAGTGAATCAAACATAAATTTGAGAAACTTCAAATTATTATATTTTAAATATTGAAAATAAACAAAATGATTGACCCAAGTCAATGAGTGAACAACACCAGAGAACTTCGTACGTATGTACATCAGTTCAAGTTGCCATGCCACATTAGCACAGTGATGAAACTCGATTCGAATCTCATATTAGTAGAGGTAGTAAACGTATTAGCAGTAATCGGAGAGATTAGGGTTCGAAGATGTTATTCAAGAAGTAGAATCTAGTGAAATAAACTTCGATTTAGAAAGATAGAGGTGATGAGGAATTCAGGTTAGAATGTGAGAGAACACAATGAATAAGTGTACCTGCGATATTGCAAACGATTTTCAGGCATGTCGTTCAAGGTCTCTAACCATCGATTATTAACATTTCACGGACCCCAACCAGGTAGTTGACGCCGACCGACATGGCTCAGTCTAGTTGCCAGTGGCTTCATGGATTTCTGCAATGTTTTGGTCTGGCCTACCCTAGCTTTCTTCCAACTTACTCCTACACCACAAATCATAGCTCGTCGAGGAAGTCGGTGGTTAGTCATACGCAACATATATCCCAGCCACCTTAACTGGTGAAGTTTCAATACTTCATCAATTGATCTGCTACCCTTACCTAGTACCCGTTTCCTAACAACAACACTGCTTACTCGGTTGTCCCATGATACACGAGCAATGTTTCAGAGACACCGACGATCGAAAACCAGCAACCCACGAATATCTTCTCTAACCGGCCATATAGTAACCAGCCTTATAGTAAGACGGAGAGAACTGCTGCGCAGTACACTCGTCCTTTGGTTAGCGAACGTTTGTCTTGCGTACGCCATAAGTGACACTAGTTAGCAAAAGCCAAGTGAGCTTTCTGTATCTGTGCTGAGATTTCGTCAGTCACCAGACCGACCATCAGCATTGATGAGACTCCCGAGACAACTGAAGCGGTCAATATGCTCAAACACGACCAAACATGCCATGTGAACCTCTAAATTAGTGTGTTAAAGAGTACAACTCAGTAAGCATCACTAGTAAGGAAGTTGTGCGTAATTCTTAACTAGAGACGCAAATAACATAAAAACAAGCGTAATCAATAAAGACATTTTAACAGACATCAGTACAAAGAAATTTACAAGCTATGAATGGGAGGGAGCTGTCGATATAGTTTGACCCATGCTCAAAATGCACCACTTATCGACTGTTTTCCTTTTGATGTGAACAATATGAAGTCCAACTGTTTTTATCAAAATTGAATCACAAAAAGTTTCTGACATGATTCTCTGAAATCCAAGTGAATGCTTCAACAATAGCATTCATATTACCTTCATTAAGAAATCAAGAGGAAAATACCATAACTGATTAAGCAGTGAATACTCACTAATAGTCAGGAAGTAAAATTCCCGAATCCAATTTCTGATGGTAAAGTTAAATTAATACTTTTATGCGGGTAATATTTATTCATCAAAAGTTATTATACTTTCAAGAAATTGAAATACTTCTATAGTTCAACTAAATTTCGAGCTAACAAAGAATTCAGATTATTTGATTAAATCAGTCGTGGAATGAATATCAGATCAAAATTATTTTGTCTCTGTCATTATCGTCTTCGCAATATCCTAACTTACATGTTATAGTAAAGGTTTCGTCAACTTATCATAACGCAAATACCTTATAACTTTAAATTTAGTTAACTTCAAAGATTTTAATTTTTTTATACGGTTTATTTATTTAATCGCTCTTAAAATTCAATGCATTTTAATACCATGTTTATCCATTAACAGAAAGTATCACATGAACTGTTCGTAAAATCAACAGATTATATTGTTTCTCGACTTTTTAAATAATTTTGCTCTTCATAAATGTTGCTAATTAAGTTCAACGAGAAATGATCAGTAACTTCAATCATACCATTATAATCTAGGTAAATGGATTACATTGGATTAGAAAAAGTTACCATAATTATTATTTAGGCATTCGAACAATACTAGAGTTTGACGATAATTTACTTAAATTATTCGTTTTTGTGTATTAAGAATTGAAAGAACTATCCTTCCACTAGACTCTTGAAAAGAGCAGTATTAGAGCAATCAATTTTTACCAATTGTACAATAATTCTGAAAGCAAAACAAAGTTATAACAGACTGCGTCGTGTATCTCACTGATTACTTTGTAAAATGACGATCAAAATACTTTTTACCAGTGACGATTGAGATCAAAAGTACTGTATTTTAATGGAAGCTTGACGAGCAGGAATCGAACAAAAGAAACACCTATAATTTTTAAACTGTTGTGAAAACTATCTAAGAAGCACTTTGAAATAGGTAATGTATGGATTGAATTTCAATAGTACTAACTAACTCCAAATCATCGACTTCAGTCAAGTTTTAAGAAGAAAAGTCATCCAGAGTGAAGTTATCGATTAGTTGTTTCATTAATCAAAAATCTGTCACCTTTCTATAATGTTATCAACTAAGATCTGATGTCTAAAGTAAGCTATTGAATACTAGAAGAAAGTGGTTCTTTAGTGAGTCCCAATATCGGATTTCCAGTTTATCTGACTATGTACTGGAAATTTGACGGGATTATCAGAAACGTTGCCCATATAAGTAGGATTTGTATTGCAAACCAAGTACATGGGTTTGAAGGCACCTGTTAGTGGGACATAGATGGAATAAAGTATGACTACGTTAGCTGAGCAATGACAGGCCAATTCCTATTCAATCAGCGAAGACATTCGAAATAGGAGCTTTTAATCAAAGATGTACTGAGATGAATGAATGCACACTCTTAATAGTCTAATAGATCCATATATCAATGGATACGATAACAGCTTAAACTGACGAATGTTACACAGATTCTTTTTAACATTTAAAATGAGAAGAGATGACGTATCAGCGATGGACAAGTTAAGAAGAGTTCGAAAAGTACAGGCGACTATCAAGTATCACCAAAACATGAACACAACACAGAAAAGTACTTCCCATAAATTTATGTACAAAAATTGCCTAGGTTAGTGTGTACAATTCAAATTAGTTCAGGATTTAAGTAAATGGAAGATGCAGTGGATGAGGAGTCATAAATTCCTCGAGAACTTCATCTGTAATCGCAGCTCGCCTTCTTTGGTGTTCTGTAACAAACTCAATTAATAATGTGATAAGCTCCTTTTTGATTTCACCTGTCAATAATTTACCACTAGAATAATCCTATACAAAAATAAGAACAAAAAACATGAATTTTATGAGTAAAGGAAAAAAATTGATAGTGTTACTATAAGAATGAAATTGATAAAAGTAACATTCTATAAAAACAACCCAACCAACGAGCTAAAAACAAGATTAGAGTAAACTAATTCTATAAAAAGGTGACGTTTATTTAATGTTAATCATTGACGAATGACAACTTTGAAAATGAATAATTAACTGCAAACAAAAACCAAGCAAACCATTCACTGAACCTACACAATTCTCATATCATTTTACATTATAACTGGATAGTATTCGAATGAATTCTCTGAATATTTTATTACCTAAAAAATGAGGCATATTTCACATATACCAGAAATATTAAGAACTCCATGAAAAAAGTTTCATTAGAGAATCAAGGTGTAAAAAATTCGGTTGAAAACACAGTATTATTGTTTATTAATTAAAATATCCAGACTGAATATTAATCAGTTGCAGGAGGATCGTAATCAAAATTTATCATGAAAAACTTCATGCAATCAACAAAAAAAATGAAGTGTTAATGTTGCCTGAAAAGATGATAAGGTACACCGTAATTTCGTCGACTATAGAAATGATTTATACAGGTTAATACATCAAAAGGATTAATATTCCATTCAGAAGTCCATACTCAAAGTGAGATCTAGTAGCAATATTACTTACTTACGCCTGTTACGCCCCCACCAGTTTTCTCAAACCAACTCTCTCCTGGACTGCCCTTTCCAGTTCTGTCCAATTTTTGTTCATTCCTCTCATATCTTTCTCTATTTCTCGGCGTAATGTGTTCCTTGGCCTTCCTCTTTTCCTTTTGCCTTGAGAGTTCCATGTGAGGGCTTGTCTCGTGACGCAGTTAGGTGCTTTTCGTAGTGTGTGTCCTATCCACTTCCACCGCTTCTTCTTGATTTCCTCCTCAACTGGAATCTGGTTTGTTCTCTCCCACAGTACGTTGTTGCTGATGGTGTCTGGCCAACGAATCCGAAGTATTTTGCGTAGACAACTGTTAATAAACACTTGTATCTTATGGATGATGGCTTTCGTAGTTCTCCATGTTTCCGCTCCATACAGTAGAACTGTCTTGACATTTGTATTGAGAATCCTGATTTTGGTTTTGGTTGAAAGTTGTTTGGAGTTCCAGATATTTTTCAACTGTAGAAATGCAGTCCTTGATTTGCCAGTCCGTGCCGTCACATCTGCATCCGATCCACCTTGATTGTCCATAATGCTGCCAAGATATGTAAAGGTGTTAATGTCCTCCAAGGCATTTCCATCAAGAGTGATTTGGTTGGTGCATGTTGTGTTGCATCGGAGAATTTTGCTTTTTCCTTTATGTATGTTGAGACCTACTGCTGCAGAGGCTGCTGCTACACTGGTCGTCTTCTCTTACATTTGTTGTTGCGTGTGCGATAGAAGAGCCAGGTCATTTGCGAAGTCCAGATCGTCCAGCTGGGTCCTAACTGTCCAGTTGATACCGTGCTTCCCTCCAGATGTCGAGGTCTTCATAATCCAGTCGATCACCGGGAGGAAGAGAAAGGGTGAGAGTAAGCAACCTTGCCTGACACCGGTCTTCACCTCGAAAGAGTCTGTTAGCTGTCCTCCGTGCAAGATTTTGCAGTTGAATGCATCATAAGAATTCCGTATGATATTACCTATTTTCTCAGGCACACAAGGCCTGGAACCTATTGCTGAGGGCTATCTTGAATTCCAAAGAAAGGCTGTATTAAACTTCTGTGATGTTGTCTGCCCCGCTGTTCAGTGTTTATTGAGATTCAGTTTCATTTTAGTGACCAGCAAGTGGTGATCTGAGGCTATAGCAGCTCCTCTCTTGATTCTCACATTCTCCATAGTCCTTCTGAACTTTTTGTTGATACAGATATGGTCAATTTGGTTCTGAGTAGAGTGGTCCGGTGAAATCCATGTGGCTTTGTGTATACGTTCGTGCGCGAATATTGTGCCACCGGATGACCAGTTTGTTGAAGACACATAGGTTTGCAAATCTCTCACCATTTTCGCTTCTTTCTCCCAGTCCATGTAGTACCATAATATCGTCATATCCAACGTTGTCCATGCCAACCTTGACATTTAGGTCTCTCATTAGAATCTTCAAGTCCTTTGGTGAGCATCTGTCAACGATTGACTGCAGCCTTTCGTAGAATTGATCTTTAACGTCGTCATTGTAGTCACTGGTATGTGCTTAGCACTGGGTGACGTTCATTGTAATGTCCTCTTTTTTGTTTTCAAGGATGCTTTAATGATCCTCGGTCCATGAGATTCCCATCCTATCAGTGCCTTTTTTGCTTGTTTGGACAGCATCAGTGCAACTTCTTGTGTATGTGAAGCATTTTCCTCTTCATGACCAGAGTATAACAGCAGTCCTTCCGAAGCTAGTCTCAGTTGTCCTACTTGTGTCCAATGTGTTTCACTGATTCCAAGCACCTCGAGGTTGTATCTTTTCATTTCTGCCGCAACTTGAAATAGTCTTCCAGTCTCCCACAATGTACGAACGTTCCATGTACCTAAAAGAATAGCTACTCTGGTTGTCAGAAGAGGCATCGCTCCCGTGACTTCCGAGGAAACTCGGCTTTCATCACGCGACGTCATAATTCTTCTTCCAACTGCCAGGGCAGGGTTAAAATGGTTTGAATTATTTCTTCTGGTTAGGGTTTTTTCGGCAAGTTAGTTTTTGACGGGATGGGGTCGCCAACTCCATGCCCAACCCTCCTCCTTTATCCGGGCTTGGGACCGGCAGCAGCCCCAAAGGTTTCTACTGGCGGAGTTTAGTAGCAATATTCTGATGTATAAATAAGCTACAACAACTAATACATACAAGTCCGCATACTTAGCTATGAAACATATATTTGCTATGAAAGATAATGACTGAATAAAATTTTAGTACGTCCGTTGGGATTGTATAACGAAATAGCAATAAACGTAACGGAATAACCATGTAGAATACGGTTTTTAATAAGTACTTGACCGATATCAACTACTGAGAAATATTTTATATTTACTTCACACTAAGTACAGAATGCCGAAAAAAATGAACACAAAATGAGCATTTTATGGGAGTGATGACGTTTCTCTATTTAATCTAATGTCATGTAATAATTATTTTCAAAAGAAAAAACAAATTAAGATATTTTTTGGCACAAACCTGACGTATTTGTTCTAGTTTTTGATCGTCTTCCAAAAAGAACCTCAAATACTGATATGATATATCAATATCACAATTTCCACCATATTCTCTATGTTCAGCGATTGTGTCACCGCCACCAGAGTAAGCATACTTATTGATCTAAAAATAGAATTTTTTGTAAACAAAAGAGACATGTTGATGATATTTAGATACTAAATACAGAGTTATTTATAGTAATATATATAAAAAAAACATGTGCTGAGGCAATCTATTGAGATTCAAACAATTAAATGTACTAAAAACAGATATCATAAAAAACTAGTTTTATACGTACTTTATTTTTAATTTGCTTTGGTGTATCTGTTAGAAATACCGATGTGTTTGGACTGCTTGCACTCATTTTCGTTTGGTTTCCTTGTAAGGCAGGAAAGAAAACTGAATATAAGAGAGATGGTTTAGGTAGTCCAAGGCGTGGGGCAACGTCTCGAGTCATTCTGAAATATGGATCTTGATCAATAGCACACGGAATTAAACAACCGACATCCTCTGGTTTTTTAAGATTTGCAAAGACAGTTGGAAACGATTGAGCAAACGAAGGAGCTGCTTGGATAGCTGGAAAAGATATTTTTCCAATACAGTCACTGTCATTGAAACCAAAAATCGCACGAGCCTGATTGTAAGTAACCAAGCGTTGTATTTGACAGATGGTACGATAAAAATCTGGGCATGTTCTAAAAATGTAGTTATAATTTCAAACTGTTAGTATAAAATCTATAAAGCATCGAAATACGAGTGGTTTATTCATCATAAAAAACATACGTTCCAGGTCAATTCAAACATAAAATCTCGAATACACGTATTTAATGCGCACTTCTACTCTGAAAAAGGGACATTCTAAAAATCGTCACAAAATTAACAAGAAATTTATACACTACGAAATATCCGCATCTATACATTTAGAAAAGATGAATCGAGCGAAACATTTTGAATCTGCCAGTTTTCCTACCATAACTTCACCTGAAACCCTTTTAGGGTTACTACCGATCCCAAGTCCCGATAAAAGGGGAGTGTTGAATATGGGGTTAGCGATCCCATCCTGTAGAAATCCAACTTGGCCAAAAAACGCCAACCAAAAATAAACCGCTGGTTGACGACCTATGCTCCATTAGGGGTAACAGACGTCAAAAAATAACAAACAAAGTTTTCCCATCATGGTCATGGATTACCATTGCTTTTGATTTTCTAACACAAAACTTCTAAGATAAATGCTAGTTTTTTAAATAAAAAAATTCAAGATTAATTATGAAGAAAATGACGAACATTTTGCGGAGAATGTTATAAACGAAAGTGATTAGTGCGATTATGACAATCAAAGGTGATAATTATAAAACGAATTAAAATGTAGTTACAAAAGTGTCAGTGCATATAGCATAAACCAGAAAGATTGAAAAAATGCTCTGACGAACACTACTCGAGGCAATCGATTCGGATGACAGGTAGCCATAAGCTCGAAATCAATCACTGTTATTCGAGTAGAGAGCCTGTACAATTTTAGTGTACTTCTTGGTACATCTTTCAATGAAAGACAATGCTATAGAACGTCACGATCGACAGAGTCTAATGACGCCTCAAGGTCGAGAAATACTATTATTGTGGGATGCTAAATTGTGTCCATGTTTTATGACCTGATGTAATGTAGATGTGGTCAATACAGCCCCGTTCAGGTCTGAAACCACTGTGATTTTCTCGAGTCTGCTCTTCACCGGCTGTAGTTAGACGTCATGATACTGTAAGATCCAACCAAGTGTTATTTGGTCTGGTTTAGTCTACCTAATTGATATATCAGCTTCAAACTTTAAAAGGCATTACTGCTAGAGACGGAAATCCGTGGGATAAGATGAGGTGTGACATTTTTGGGGTCGCAACTCACATATATTATGGGAAGGCAGCGCCGCTACAGATGTTGGTCGTTTGAGGAAAACAACTTACTGCTATGACACCCCTATACAGCCGAGAGTGAGACTTCGCTATCAGACCATAAGTTGCCATTTTAGTCCTGCCGTTCTTTAAACGACTTATTTCGTAGGTTAAGGCCTAAGGGAATATGTTTTCTAGCTGATATAACTCGGTTGAGTCATTACGATAGGCAGGCTTTACCACTATGTTAAGTGAGCAGTTATGGTTGAGTCTTTCTCCTGTGACTTTATTTTTATCCCCACGTGCCACCAATACGAATTACTGAAGATAACAATATGTTATTCATGGTTTCTTGTAACTGTGATGAGGCTTAAAATGTTTGAATGTCATGTCAAATACGTGAAATACTTGGTTGACATTGTGACAAGATTCCACAGATCACGATGCCTGCTGTAACCTTCTCATACATTAAAATTGCTTGTTAGTCAGAATATTTTTCTGAAACTTTTAAATAGTTGACATACATAAGGGAATGCATTTGATGGATTTATGAAAACATTTTAGTCGTTACAACAGTGATTAAAAGGTTGATTGTAAGCTGATTCATAATGATAAGACCTGTTCAAGTGAAGACTTAACAGAACTACATCGGTTGATGTGACTTTTTCCCGTATCTGATTATTCTCAATGAAATAAAACAATAATTTTTGGGACAAACAAAACTATAAGGGCTGTTGTAACCGATAAAAAACTAGACTGCAGAGTGAAATCACTGGTGGTAACTACTAAAAAAGATGGACCACAGACAACATGCTTCCAGTACTTTACTGAGCTCTTGAAATCCAGCTGTTTCAATTGATATTATAGCATCAGATTATCTACACTAAAAACTACTTTCAAGTTAATGAGACATGACGAATAGACATTGAAATCCATATTTCCAATAAGACCTAATTTATTTGAAGACAAACATTTCCGACTGCTATGTTATGTGCATAGAAAATGGTTTCTACACTTTTGATGAGACTGGTTTTTACAAAGGTTTACTATAAAATGTTGTTTTACACTGACTATTTAGTAATTAAATAAAGGAGAACTATAGTTACTTAAATGAAATTGCAGTCGAAAATACCTACCCCATGTATTCAAAATTGCTGAAAATAAATGTTTTTTTGGGATCAAAACCCATCGCAATAATATCCTTTGCGTTTTCACGAGTTAAATGTCTAACTTCTGCAATGGATAAGTTCTTCCACAGAAATTTCTCATCATCAGTTAACTGGATTACAAGAGGAACATCAAATGCATCCTGAAACCATCTAGGAAAATGTGACCGTACAATTTACAACAACTTATTTATTATGAATGGAATGACATGTCCAAGATGTAGGGCTTCTGATGATGGGCCTCTTCCAGTATATAAAAAGAATGGCTTTTTTTGTTCGATTCGTAAGATAATTTGCTCCAAATCCCTTTATAACATCTCTTTTTATAACTTTTCAGCCTACCTGTGGGAAAAAAATATCTGACGTTTTAATAAGTGATGTAGAGGCTTAGAAGAAAGGTTTGAAAGCCTTTGAAGTAAATCACTGTCGATTTTTGAACATCCAAAACGAATGATTAGTTTGTCGTAATCTACACCGCCGCTTGAACTTGTCGAAACTTCCCATGGAGTGACTATGTCATCTCCATTAACTTCCAAAACCTCCGCCATTTGCTTACAGTCCATACTATTGGTCATATATATAGTTTTCAATGATTGTTAACAAAGCTGCAGGTAATGCGAATAAATTGACGGTTCTGATGGATAAGTAAGTAGTAAATGAGAAAATGAATGTAATACTTTAGTAAGGCAGAAAAGGTGCAAACAGGAATTCGACATGATACTATAACTGACCTCACATATCGGTAAAACGGCTTAAATCAATCCATCATTTTATTCGACATCTGCTAGTCTGCATAGTAAATCGAAGTTGGTAGCATATACATCCCGACTGTCAATCGGTGAAGAACTGATGCGAGGATTAACGTGTTGTAAAGTCTCGTTAGATGTCTTGCCAATATAGTCAGATAAGTTCTGTGTTCCGTGTTGTATGTCTGTCTGTCAATTAGTGCTTGTTTCGGGACCCCAAATATATCCGGTCTGGTGCATACAGATGCAGTTTCCGAAATAAAAGACCAATATGTCGTAGTAGTAATTAGTCAATTGCCACGGGATATGGCTTTAAAATATACACTAAGGTATAAGCACCTGTAAAACCATACCATGTCAACGACCATGGACCAGAAAATAATGGATTATAAAAAAATCTAGAACAATATTGCACTGCGTGGACGGTTCTGACAATTTATAAACCAGATATTTGATTACCTATTACAGTAGATGGTTTAATTTTTCTTTGTAAGTTGGCTCACATATTGTCATATATATTTAATAGTTGTAAGAGATCAACTTTACGAACCTTAAGATCTAGATAAAGAAGAATTTGACTTGAGATTTCATGAGACGAAAACCATCTGTCTTGGTGCTTTGAATTTCACGAGGATCCTCGGGGCTCTGTCTCAAACTTAGTTGGCCCGCAAGTAGTCTTACTATAACATATTTCATGAATTTAATCGTCCATATTATAGGTCCGTGTTGAACTCACCAAATACCAAGAAATATCACCACCTTATTGAGTGAGTCAGTAAGTAACAATCAACAATGTGTATATGATAAAGAGCGGTAAAAAACGTAATCAATAGGTCATAGTATATGTTTAGGTTCATCTACATAACTTTGAAGTCTGCCCAAGTATACTAAACAAGGAAGTAAGGAGGGACTTTGAGGAGGATTCTAAGACTAACTAGATGTTTATACAAGTAACAATAATTAAAATCATAGACACTCCCCAGCAGGAGGTATATGGTGAGATATTTGTCTGAAATTTCCCTCTTTTGGAGAAGACTGTGAATAAATGAAGGCAACTCGAACTAGCATTTGTTGTATTAGTGATCGAAGTAGCGATTTTAGTATGGTCTGAAAACAGTACTAGAGGAGGGTGCGGAGCAGCATACATAAGAAAAGCTGGAGAAAAGTCACTCATTACTGAATCAAGTTAACTCCTATCTAATAATAAAGGCTATCTTTGGATATTACCAATGAAACGAGCTTCAGACAAAAACAGAATAACATTTTAAATTGCTGATATAAAAACACAGAACTATAAATTCATTACCACATAAAACTTCAAACGGCGTTAAACGCAGCGGTTGACCTTGAAAGTAGTCAACCTAAAAAACGCCAGCACGTAAATAATGCTTGGAATAAAGATTTCGACAGTTTTCTTTCATAGCGAATTCGAATTTATAAATAAATAGTCTTATGTCATAAAACGTTTGAAAATACAATTGCGAACAGCAAACTCTTATTTCGAATAATCAGAAGCTTTATTCTAATAATATTTCTTGTTTAAGAGTAACTCTCTGGATAATGTGGAATTTTATTTGAGTGAAGCAAACAAAATTAGAATGCTGAAATATTGTGAGAGAGGACATAAGCGTGAGCGAGGGGAATGAAACAAGGAAAATGAACGAGATGGATTACGTTAATGAGGAAGTAGTATTCATAGCACTCATCAGGATATGCATCAGGCACAGCTGATCCGCGTTGCAGATGACAGTCCGTCCATGAATGCTAGATTTTTAAATCTTTTCTTGAAGCCATCCACCAAGGAGGGTGTGACGAGTTCTGCTGGAATGGTCTCGCAAGTTGCATAACCGCTTAATGAGAAAACGTATGCACGATACGAAATTTTGGCTCTTTGAGGAGCACTTTTTCGAAAATAACACTGACGGGCGTGGTGATGCTGCGATAAGCTGTTCACGTTAGAAGGATTTGGTGTGACTGATAAGTTGAATGCCGTGATCACATCGTATCTGATTCTCTCCTAACTCATTGAATATATATCCAAGTGCTGGAGTCTAACTCTGTAAGTTTCACTCTTCAACCTTATTACCTGTTCCGTTGCACGTCTCTGCACTCGATCTGAGAGATTTATGTCTCTGTTATGGAAAAGGGTGGCGGCGACTCTATAGAACTTGATATGTGTATTGAGAAAAATTCTGAGCTGATGGCATCAGGTCATCTTCGCATAAAGTGAAGAGTCACATTATACCTGGCTGCGTCCCTACGTAGTTCAAACCGGTGTCTGGACTTTCTATAAGTATAAGATCAAGATCGCGCTCTGAGTAGACATTGACGGCTTACGATGCTTGTGCCACGTTGGGCAGAATGTACATAACGTGACATTTCGACGGGTTTAGTTCTTAACGGTATAAACTGACTATTCCTAAGTTGATGTAAGGTCCTATTCAAGCTCATTTTAATCCTCTCCACTTCTAATGAACCTACAGATCTTTGCATAGTCTATGTTGACCAATGCAGCCCAGTTAACTTTGTCTAAAAGATCGTTAGTGAATATCAGGGAGAAAAGTGAACCTAAGACCGCCCCCCGTGATACTGTCGTTGTCAAAACTCGTTAACTAGTGTGAACACCATTAACCTTGATGCGGAACTTTCTATCGTCATGATAGCTGCTGAGTAAAGATAGGAGTGGATCAGTGAAGCCTAGTTATACAACCTTCGCATTTCGGTTTTGTGTGTCGAAGGCACTGCAAATGTTACGCATGAACGTAGACATGTCACTTTGATATGCTTGAATTATTAGGAGCTTACCTTAGTCGGAAAACGAGAGCGAGGATGGATGATCCGGCGACAAAACATGCTACTCTAATCCGAGTGTCCCGAACCCCATTGGGGGAAGAAGAAGACTTTATATGAAGTAGAACCTGAATCCTACAAGCATCCAGAAAGTACGAGGTCCGAGTCCAGAAAAGAATCATGATCCCGAACTGAGGATCCGGGTTATAAAACATCACAGATAATGCGTATTTTTACGTTCAGGTCGAAAAGGAAACAGCATCCAAGTCTGTGACATTGACATTTAAGGCGAACAACAGGAAACAACATTTGAAGTGACATTGATAACCATAAAATTGACCAGTGGGAATCAACCAATAGTCATTGACCAGTAATTCTCTTAGGATGTTGGACGAATGTCCTTACAGGAAAGTCAAGAAATGTTATTTGAACCCGGATTGTTCAGTCCCAGTAGGTTATCCAGCTGGTTCATGCGGTGAGAGGATTGGATGCTTATGATTTGTCTTTCTGTGTTGAGCTTCATGGAGGATTTTGTTCTTATCCATATACTCTCTCATTTCCACATTCATCATCCTTTCCATAACCTTCAACAGCATTGTTAATTGGATCTTAGAGGACAGTAACGCGATTGGTCTTTTATAAAATGGATCATCCAGATCTCCTCCATTAAAAGTTCGAGAAAGAGAGTAGCTTGTTTCATTTCATTTGGGAATTGGTGTTACTCCGGTTAATGTCTGGCAGGCTGAGGGTTCCTGCAGACTATTTCAAGACTATCGGTAGTAGGCTGTCACATTCCGGTTACTTTATCGGTCACAGAGATTTCATTTTTATTAGTACTAAGTCAGGGATAAGTCAGATGTTCCCTGTGGCCGTCATCTGACTCTCTTTAGGTATTACTCAGAACTTGTAGGTACCTGGTTTAGAAGACCAGTGAAGTTAATCTTGAAGATCTCAACCATTTATGGCTTGGTAAAATCTTCGTCGTTTGAACATTTTAAAGTACAAACACACGGGTCCATGGTGCAGATCCTAAACAGACGTTTTGGGGTCTTCCAATATTTATGCAGCTAGGTTCGTTTGGAAGTGTTTCCTATCACTTTGAACATTAGTATTGTATCTGTTTCGCAACAGCAAGTCAGAACCACGGTCCGAGTCTTTGAAAATGACCTTCATCTTGTGTCAGGCTCTCCTCTATGCCTGAAGCAAGCATTCAGTGCCTCGCCTAACCCAATTTCTTCTCTTTCCCGGTGTGTGATGTGCCTGATTCACATTGTTTAGGACAGCATTCAGGTTAAAGTACATTACTGTTTGCAAGTGGTTATTAACTAATAGACTCCACCATTCCCGTGGTCATGGAGAATTTAGAATATTATCTTTCATGCACGTGTGATTTTGTCTAGTATAGCGGATGTAGCGATCATTTTCGTCCCGCTTGCGTATTATGCTTATGACCAAGTTAAACTGGTTACTACTCTTTTTTAATGAATGGACATGAACATCCTCCATTAGCAGCTGATAAATACAATGGCTCAATCTGGTTGTCAGTGGTTTGTGCCATGTTTTGGTTTCGTCACCCTTAGCTTTCTTCCAGCCTACCCCTGCATCACAAAACATCGCTCGTCGAGGTGGTAGGTGGTTAGGTATAAGTAAAGAACCTCAACTAATCAAGATTCACTACTTCACCACTTGATCTACCATTCTTACCTTTCCCAGCACCATTATTGCTTACTCTCTGTTCCCAAGATATACGAGCAATACTTCTAAGACGCCGATGGTCGAATGCAAGTAACCTACAAATATCCTTTACTCTTGATGGCCATGTTTCACATACCCAAAGAGGGATGGAGCGAATCGCTCCAATTTAGACTCGTGCTTTGATTAGTAGACGGATATCTCGCCTACTCCATAAATGACGCAAAAATTACTCTAACTTTTTGCTTCTCTCCCTCTCCTTAGATTTCTTGAAGCTTTTTCCACTTCATTAAGAGTCGGGGGACCTACATTAACTTTCCACTCAGGTTGACCGAAGATGGTGGGTAACCTAAGTGTGGATGAAGGCCAGTTGAACTGTCTCTTAAAGTGTTCTGCCTACTGATCCGATCTCCTGGATTGAGAATTACTAATAATCCCATCCCTTGCTTCCTTTTGAAAAGGCAGCATCGCTGCAAATGCTGTTTGTCTGAGGGAAACACCTTACCACCCTCAAACCTTAAGTTGCTGCTTCTACTGTTACCGTTCTCCAATCGACCTGCATGGTATGATAAGATCTAAAGGAATATATGTCACAGCCAATGTAGCTCGGTTTGGTCATCACGGTAGGCACGCCCGACCACTGTCAAGATAGCAGTAACGCTCAAAAGAAAAGAAAATCCAAACAATGATTGTCAAAGAATTTTTAAGGTATAAAGTATGGTTAGTCAGCTGTTTTATTAATAATCAACTAAATTAAGATGCTTGAAATACTCTATCCGGTTAGCGTTTTTAGCGAGTTATTTTTGCTGCGGACTGGGGCACAAACCTCAACCCTTGTCCTTTATCCGGGCCTGGGACCGGCAGTAACTCCAGAGGGTCTACAGAAAAGTTAGTTAATAAATAACTAAATCAAGATGGTAATTAGGTTGTACATACTAAGATCATGCATTAATCACCATTTAGAGGGAGACTGGTTGAAAATTTTGAGAAAAGTTTATTTTGATAGTTCTGTTTGGTTTTGTTACTGATCAACTGTAATTTTGGCAGATTTTTCTATAGAAACCATCTAACATATTAATCTGTGAAAATTATTTAAATAAATAGTTATTCAGCTTTACTAAATCTTTAGTTGTAATGATCTCAATCGAAATTATTCGCCAAATCAAATGAATAACCATTCGTTATTTATGTTATTCTCAACTGGTTTCTGACTTCCTTATATCAACCACTAATGTAGTATTAGACGAATAAAATATTTTTTCTGAGTCTGCGTCTATTGACTTAACTTGTTAGTTGTGAATGAAACTTAATTTGGCTGTGTAGTTGAACAAACTTTTAATGTGGACTTCACAAATCATAAGTCTTGCTTGCAATTGCTCTCTCTCTATCTCTCAAAATAGCTATTAGTTCAGTTTCCTTATTACAAAATAGACGAACTCTATAGCTAATTAATATTCATGCCATTTTATTCCTGTTTTCCATGAAAATGACAAACAAAGCAGTTGTTTACTAAAAGATTTGTGAAAAAAAACAACTTTAGATTGAAAGAAATAATTAACAATTTAGATAGAGATTATTTCTTTATTTAAAAAATAAGTCAGAGTTAGGAAAAGAAAATCAACTCAATGTATAATATTGTCATATACAATATAAGAATAAATTCAACAGTGAATTAAATAATTTCCAATATGTTGAATGGATGATCATTCATTCAATAACATACAGCCTCACACTCTTCAACGCTAGCAAACCTATTTGAATTTCCTTGACAACCACTGTAAATGAATTTAATACATCTCCACTGGTCTACACTGAAAGCGAACATTTCAATTGCAGCTCTGCATGGACCTGATTCAATTGGTTCCAAACATATTTTATTGATTGTTTCATTTGTTGTGAATGACATTGCTTTAGTGCAGCAATAAAGTTATGGTAAAATAATTTATATAATAGTCAATAGACAAATTTGTGTTTTATGAAAAAGATTCATTCACAAAAAAAAACTAGTTCTCTAGACCCATAGTCATAAGATTCGGAAATACTCATTAGTCCTGTTATCAAGTGCTTATTGGTTTAACATACCTACCACCAATTGTCGATGGATGTAACCTTTCAACTCAGATATCTACAAAAGTAAATCTTAAACACTGATGAAACAGCTACCCAGATCAAACCAGAATTCACTTACTTTGTACAATATATAATTTTGTAGTTTAAAGTAACGTGAAATCACAGAGTAAGATTTTAGTAAATCAGTTTTTGCTGGTATCTTTTAAATGTGATATTCAAAACAATGTCCGAAATGTTAACGAAATCAAAAATCTCTAGTCATAAATAACACAAGTTACTTTTCAGTGAAAAATATACTCATTATATCCTCCTAACAAACCATTTTGGTTTATGACTGTTTTTAAAAGCTTTTGAGAAATATTCTTACAATTCCTGCAACTCAAACGTAACACAGCTGGCTGAAAGAACATGAAAAACAATTTTATAAACTTGTTATTCAGACAAACTAGCATCAGAAAGTATGGATATAACATAGTTTTCAGTTAAAAAAAGTCAAAGAGAATGAACGGAAAGTAACCACATCAATTGAAAGTTGCCTATTTTTGAACTGAAATCCTCGAAGATACTTGAATCTTGGAACATTAAAATAATATCTTCATCAACAAACACATACATCATTAGGCCAGATGGATGGTGACTAGCAGTGCAATCCAGGAGGCTCATTTCGCCCTATTTCGGATAATACAGCGAAGTAAAGCTACGCATATATGAAAGAGACTGACTAGATGCAGTCTGAGACGTTATCGGGAAGATTCAAACAACTAATACAAATGAATTAAACTTCATCTCATTACACAACAAGCCAAAAGCTCTGTGGAGTCGATAGCTAAGTTGATAATGTGATGGCGTTTGAAGCGAACGGTGGTGAGTTCGATCGAATCTCGGAGGGAATATTAACTGTGGAATGAAGATACATAGAGCTGAACAGGATCAAATAGGATGAAATGTGCATCCTGAAATCCATTGCTAGCCACCATCAAACTCTGATAATAATGCATATGGTTTAATGGCAATTTAGAGGTAACCCATACAGGATGCACATTCCAAAAGAAGGTATCAATTGCCGTCTTAAAGATCGATTGAAAGATATAAACAACTAATAGAAATGAATTGAAACTATGTTGGGGATGTTAGATCCCCAAAATTCGCTTGATAATGCCGTATTTCGGTTTTCACGTTCGCCAGCAGGGGCTGATCAAATGACCTTGAGATTTCAACTCCCACCAGGAAAATCAATGGCTGTGATTGGCTACAGTGTATTTTAGTATGCTATTTTCTTAACTGTCTCAAGGACGTTGTTATGTTGTATAAATAAACGAGAGTTGTATGCTTGAG